TCGGATACCTGGTGTTGGGAGCCGGGGGCCAGGGCTGGGGGACCCAGGGCGGGCCTGCGGACGTGGCTGCAGTTCCGGGCAGCACCACCAGGTGGCACTGGGGCAGCACAGGCCTCCCCAGCAGGGCCCGGGCGGGTGGGGGGCGCCCAGCAGGCCGCTGCCCCCCAACCCCAGACCCTGTGACCTCCTCTGCCCTGGGGTCTCCGAGGACGAAGTGTCGCCGGACCTCAGGGCGCGTCCACCCGGTCCCTCTGCTGCCCCCTTGCCCTGGGCAGGGAGGGGAGGTCCCAGGCCCCAGCCCCGGGGGGCAGAGGGGGGATGGCTGCGGGGAAGGCAGCCCCCACACCCGCTCCTGGCAGGACTTCTGCGGATCCCTCCGGGAGAAGGGACCATGCGTGAAAGTGACCTTCACACGTGGTCGAGGGGACCGAAAGCTGCCCGGAGCCGATGGCCTTCATCTCTGTGCCCCGAGGCCGCAAAGGCAGCTCTGTGCCCCAAGCCAGCGTTTCCAGGGGGGCCGGGAGGAATTGGGGTTGGCAGGCGCCGCGATGCCCGGGCCCGGGAGGGGTGGCAGAGGGCGGAGGCCGGGCTGTCACAGGGACACACGTGTGCCAGGCTGCGTGCCCGCGCCTCTGCCAAGGGCCTGGCAACTTCAGAAAGAGGGGCGGCCGCGCGTTTCCCCGACGGCCCTGAATGCACTGGGTTGGCCGCGTCCTCAGGAGGCCCCCCGGCAGGTGTCGGGGCCCCGGTCACTGGGGCGGCAGGATTGTGGCCGGCGTCCCTTGGCGGACATGCCCGGTCGGCCGCCAGGTGCCCGCTCGGTGCCCGGCAGCACGGTGGCTGTGGGACAGGGCGCTCCTGGGCCACCCGCAGCGTGGCCGGCGGGGCCGGGGCACAGGCAGGCCTGGGGCTCTGGGGGCGGCCCCCCATGCCCTGACTCCCACTGGCCGCCCGCACCCATCGTGTCAACGGGGCCATGACAGTGCCCGCGGCTCCGTGGGTGGCACTGGGGGGTCCCCATCACCTCTCCCAGCCTCGGGCTCCGGCGCTTCCTGGGCTTCTGCTCCCGTCGCTCCGCGTCGACGGCCTCGCACCGTGGCCCCCGTGTCTCTGCTCTCCTGTCTCTCAGGAGACTTGTCATGGGTTCATCGCCAGCTGGTGAATCCAGGGTGATCTCATCGGGGGATCCTTGTCTTGTTACACCTACAGGGACCCCTTTTATCCTTTTTTTTTTTTAAATAATATATTTTTACTTGAGAGAGAGAGAGAGCATGAACAGAGGGAGAAGCAGACTCCCTGCAGGGAGCCCGATGCAGGGCTCGATCCTGGGACCCCGAGACCGTGGCCTGACTGAAGGCAGACGCTTCACCGACTGAGCCCCCCGGGCGCCCCTAGGGACCCTTTTTCTAAATAAGGTCACGCTCACAGGTACGTATGTGGGGTAGCCGTTGTGGCCACTTTGCCCGCCCTGCGGTCCCCGTGGAAGGGGCTGGCTGTCCTCAGCTCTGCCCAGCCGGGGCCGCAGCTGGCTCTAGGACGCGCCTGGCTGCGGGAACATCGGGCTCAGCACCCCCAACCCCTGCCCACCATCCCCAGGCCAGCCACTGACCGCTCTGCCCACGGCAGCAGCCCCTGGCCACCTGGGGCCAGAACTGGCCTCCCTTGGGGCCCCTGGGGACTCAGTGGTGGAGCGTCTGCCTTCAGCTCCAGGTGTGACCCCAGGTCCTGGGATCGAGTCCCGCGTCGGTTCCCCGCATGGAGCCTGCTTCTCCCCCTGCCTGTGTCTCTGTGTCTCTCATGAATAAATAAATAACATCTTTAAAAAAAAAAAAAAGAACTGGCCTCCCGCTGGGGCTACGTGAACCCGCGTGGGGCTTGTCTGGGGGTGAACCGGGCCGGCAAGAGGGGGCAAGACCCCCGTCCCCAGAGGCTGTGGCTCAGAGGCGCCTGGTCCCGGGAGGGAGCCAAGAGGCGGAGCCCAGGGCGCTGGATCCCAGAGGACCCGCTTCCTGACCTGATTTTACTGGGGACATCGGGGGCAGGGGGTGGGCAGGGGCCCTCAGGCACCCTCCGTTCCCCGTGGGTGGGCAGGGAGCCCCGGCATTGGGTGGGTGGAGCCTGGGAGCACCGCTCCAGGCTCTCTGGGGGAGGGACCCCCCGAGGCCAAGCTGGGCGCCCCCCGCAGTGCAGACACCTGTGTGCATGGTGCTGGCAGGCGGCTGTGGTCCGTGGGTCCCGGTGTGGGCGGGCACGGACACCAGGGATGAATTCGCAGGCGGCGTCCGGGCAGCCCTGAGTTCAGGTCCTCCTCGGGCCTGACCCCGGCCAGGAGAGCTGAGGCCAAGCATCTGGGCTTTGAGCTTCTTGCAGTGGGAGCAGGTGCGAGGACACCCCACGGCGGACGCCCGTGGGTGTGGACGCAGTGGGTGGAGCTGCCCGCGGAGCTCCTGGCTGCCTGGGGCCTGTGCTGTGTGTCCTCCCTTAGGAGGGGTGACGCCTCAGTGTCCTCATTCCATCGATTTGGAATCTGGGCTTCCCCGCACAGCCTCCTGGGTGGCCCGGGCTGCAGCAGGACAGGCCCTGGGAGGTCACGCAAGCACCTGCAGGGGCGCCGCCCACGGAGCTGGGCCTGCCCTGTGCTTTCACGGTGGGTCGCCGCATCCTCACCGGGAACGCGTCCCCCCAGGGCAGAAAGTTGCTGTTGGGGCGGATCCCCCGGTGACCTGACCCCGGCTGCTCTGCGGGCAGCCCCGGGTGCGAGGGGAGCCGGGGAGCACCGTCGGCGGCCACCGAGCCTAGACTCGGGCGTGCGGACTCGGCCCCTGCGAGTCGCCTCCGTCAGAGCGTGTCCCGGCTGTGGACCATGGGCCCTGGAGCCACCGGGACCCTCAGCACTGGGGAGACGCCTCCTGCTTCCTCCTTCCTCCTCCTTCCTTCCTCCCAGCTCGGCTCCGACCAAGACTCGGTTTGATGGTAAAGACGCAGAGTGTGAACGGGGCAGGAGTGAGTAAGGCCGAGGGCCGGGCTCCAGTTCCTGTCTCTTCCTCAGGAGCCGCCCTGCCTCTGCGGCTGCTTTGCCGGCCGCCCCTCCCGCGCATGGTGCTCCTGCTCGCTGGGCAGCCGGGGCCAGGACGCGCGGCTCGGGCCCTCGGAAGGGCTCCGGGCTGTGAGGTGGGTCCGCGGCCCTGCACGAGGCCTCAGCGGCCGCTCCTCACCCCGAGCCCTCTCATCCCTTATGTGGTCTTTCCTTCATTTCTTTTTCTTTTTTTTTTAAAGATTTTATTTATTTATTCATGAGAGACACAGAGAGAGGAGAGACACAGGCAGAGGGAGAAGCAGGCTCCATGCAGGGAGCCCGAGGTGGGACTCGATCCCAGGACCCCGGGGTCACGGCCTGGGCTGAAGGTGGACCCTCAACTGCTGAGCCACCCGGGTGCCCCTTTCACTTCATTCCTGAGACACACCCTGGACCCGGGCCTGGTGTCTCTCTGAAGGGCCTTTCTGTGTTTCTGTAACGAGTCAGCCTCTGTTTCCCCCCGGGCATCGCTGCTCCCCACGAGCAGACCTTGTGTTTCAGGCCGGCCTGACCCTGCGTGGTCTCGTGGGGCATTCCAGTCCCCATCCCGGGGTCTGGCATCACTTGGGGACCTCCCCGCGGATACAGCCGAGCCCCTGGCTGGCTACTGGCACCACCCGAGCCGCATCACGCTCCCAGGGGACGGGCAGGCCCGCCGGCTGTGCCCATGAGGCACCGGGTGGCACCGCATCCTACACCTGCCCAAGAGCACAGGCATCAGCAGGTTGAGAGCGTGGGCCCCGTGCAGGCCCTGGCGTGGATGCCGAGGGGCGCCACTGCAGAAGCGGGGACACGGCCCCGGTGTGGCGGGCCCTCTGCTGCAGGGACCTGCCCATTTCTGAGTCCGGATGCCCGGTTAGGTCACGTTTGAGGACCAAGGCTGGGCCTTTGGGGCCACCTCCTGAAGCATGAGCCGCCTCCGAGCCAGTGTGCTGGGGGCATCCCCGGGGGGGGGCAGGTGGCCCGCGGCACTCCACCAAGCACCTCTCTTAGCGGCTGCGACCGGCAGTGGAGGGGGAGGAAGCCCAAGATACTAAGACTTGGGACCCGCCGCGGAGGGACGGCCCCGACACAGGCTTCCCGACTCCGAGGACCCATGGCGAGCGGGCCAAGAGGACGGGGCCCGGGGGCTTCTGTCGTACCTGCCGAGCTGCCGGTACAGGTCGGCATCTCGGGGACGTGGGGTGACCCTCGCAGGCTCAGAGCTCATGTTGTAGTGGGTGAGGCCTGGCCTCGGCGGGGTCAGCCTGGCTCCTGTGCCTCGACACACCACGGGGGCAGCGGGGGGCCTGGCGTGGGGCCGCCTCCCGGGCAGTGGCCTACATGGTGGAGGAGGTCTGCCAACACCTGGGGGAGCGTGCCGGGGAGTGGGGCCCCCACATGAGGCCGCAGACGGCCTGACCGGCATCCGGGAAGGACCTCGAGCCGCCCCCCGGGGCCCTGCCCACAGTGACCGGGCTGGTGCCCGTCAGACCCCACATTGTGTCCCTGGAGGAGTCGGCCCGGCGGAGGGAGAAGCCTGGCTGTGAAGCGGGAACCCACCACCAAGGGGGGGGACCCCGATGTCCACGGTGGGGCCAGGAGGCCGGCCTCCACCCGCCCGCCCTCCCAACCGGCCGTCACTGAACGTGGGGGCCCAGAGGGGTGTGGCCTTGGCTGGGGGAGTGCAGGGCGGTCCCTGGGGGTGGCAGTGGGCTGCTGGGTGGCCGAGGTGGGGTTTGCAGACCCGCCCCCGCGGGGGCGCCCCAGGGTGTTTTGGGGAAGAAGATGGTGCAAGGACGGTGCGGTGAGGACCTGCCCACGGCACCTGGTCATGCAGGCAAAGGGTGCCAGGGGCCCAGGTGCGTGGGTCCCCGTGACTCCCGACCCGCCACCGCCCGCGGGGCCCCCGCGCGAGGCAGCAAGGACGCGAGCACACGGCAGGAACCAGAGATGCTGTTTTATTTACACCACAAGAGCAACAAGCTGTCAGATGAGGTACAAAACGCTGGACTCCGGGTGAAGTGGAGCGGAGTCGGCCGTCGGAGGAGGACACCGTCGTCGGGGGAGACCCGCCCACACAGAACAGAACGAGAAATGAGAAAACCGAGAACGAAATCTCCAACTCCGCGGAGCAAAAGAAAGAACCGCTGGAAGGTCCAGACGACCAAAGGGAACGGGTTACGTTACAGAAGAAACAGGCGGCCGTCCCCGCGTGGCCGCGGCGTCGCGACCCGCCCGTGAGAAGCTCTTGGGTGAACGGGGTCAGCGCCCCCTTGTATATATTATATATATGTCTCAGAAACTGGAAAATAGCGCCTCCACTATGGAGCACACCCCCCCGGAACCCGGACAAACAGAAACCGTCCGCCTCCTCTGTCTTGCCCGCGGGAGGCTCCGCGTCGGGTGGGCCGCGCCGCCGCAGGGAAGGGGCGGCCTCCGGTCGAGGCGGAGCGGGGCTCGCGCGGTCCACGGCTGCGCAGCGGGAGGTCAAGTCTTGGCCACACGGCACCCAAGGGCCACGAGAGTCCGCGCGGCGGTGCGTGGGGGCGCTCCCGGGGGGCCGCCGGCCGGGCTCACGTCGGGGGTAGGGGGGCCGCCGGCCGCCGCGCCCTGTGCGAGACCGAGGGGAATAAACGAAAACGGAACAAGACAGATGCCTCCGAGTCAGTGAAGAGAGACAGGCAGTTCGCTTCGAATTCTGTGTCGTTTCCCTAAAACACTGTTTCCACATAAATACAATAAACTCTATTATTGGTATGTCACAAGTGCTAGATAAACTTTTCTCCTTAATATGACAAAGGTGTAAGTAGTCCTTTTTAGTTCTCTTACAATAAAAAGTACAATTTCTTAAGAATGAGTTCGGTAAGACGCAAACGTTTCCCCCCTTCCCCACTCTCCTTCAAGGTTTCGTGTCGTTTTACAGAAAAATCTCCATCTTTTGTGTCTGCAAATGTCGTGGGGGGGGGGCAAAAAAAGGCATTTTTTTTTTTCTTCTTCCCCAAAGCTGCCGAGTCTGGCGTGCAAAAATCTGTGTACAATATAAAGACATGCCGGTCGTACAGTCCATGCAACCTCCAGGTGTAGGAACTTAAAAAAATATATTCATATATGTTTATATATATATATTTATATATGTATCAATGCCCATAAAACGCACGGGCCCGAAAGTCTACAAAAAGAATGGAATGAGCACATGGCTGTGACCAGTAAAGAAGGAATGTTCTGATCGAAAAGTAAAACCAACAAACTCCGCCGGCGGCGTGGCCTTCGTGTCCGAGCCACGCCCGACGGTCCTTCCTCTGGAAACAGACTTTTAAAACAAGTGGAGAAAAACCGAAACACTCTGACCAGGCCCTTGGAGCCGGGGTGGGGGTGGGGGGCGGCCGCCTGCTGGTGGGGCTCGGGCACGGCGTGGCGGGAGCCGAAAGGGCGGGCGCCGCGCGGCCCGGCGGCATCGTGGGGTTCCCCGCGAAGGGACGTAAAGTGCTCGCTCGCTGACCCCTGGCCGGTGCCCCCGAGGCCTTTGCAAAAGAAGAAAAAGGCTAAAGGTGCCGGGGCCGGAGAGGGGAGGCGGGAGGTGCCCTCGCCACGCGGGCCGGGCGGACCCTGGGGCGCGACACCGCCGTGGGCCCTGGCGGCCCCCGGGAAGGGCTGAGTGTGTCGTCAAAGAAAAGAAAAGGCTACACGGTAATGCTTCGAGCGCGTCTGTGGCGCTGGAGTGCGCGGACAAATCCACGTGCCGCCAGCGTCCCGGCCGGGGGTCGCCCCCACCGACCACCCCTCGGCCCGCCTATGGTGAAAAGCGTGACGTGACCGCTTCCTCCCTAAGAGCCACGGGCTGCGGGGTCGGGGCCGGGGCTGGCCTGCCGCCGCTCTGCACCCCCCCGGCAGCCGAGCTGGCTCCCCGCACCCCAGCTCCCGCCAACGTGGGCCGCGGAGCAAAGAGGGAGGACGGGGGAGGAGGAGGCCCCAGGCGCCCCAAGACCCTTGCCGGCCTGCTCTCGGGCTCCCGCCCTGGGCCTGACCGCCAGCCGCCGCCGACCCAGCCGATCCAAGGATCTGGATTCGTTTGGCCCACAGCCCGGCCGCATCGGTCTCCTCCGGAAGCTACCCTGGGTACGCGACCGATCGGGGACCTGGGCCGGGGCTGGCTCCCGCGGGGGCACCGGGCCTGGGCACCCTTTGGAATGAAACTGGTGGCTTCAAGTACAAAGTGGCGGGCGGTTACCGTCAGGGCGGGCAGGAACGAAGACCGGCTGGCCGGGCAGGACCCGGGGCTGGCCCTGCAGCTCGCCAGGCGGCAAGGGCCCCGGCTCCCCGCGGGCTCAGGCCCAAAAACCCGGGGGGGTGCAGCTCCCGGCCGTGCGGCCGTGGCAGGAAAACCCTGCGCACGGGTGGGCCTGGCTCGGGCCCCATGCAGTGCGGACATGCTGTAAAAGGTCTTTGGAAAACAATTGAAAACGCGTATCCTGACCACGTGGTCAGGGAAGTTTAGACGGGAGTCCCGCAGGTGCCGGAGCCCCGGGTGTCAGGCGGGCGCCCTGCGATCCTCCCCACCGCCTCCTCCTAATACTCCAAGGAAAGCCCCTGCTCTGGACGCAGCCGCCGTGACCGCTCGGCCCCCTTCCCGCGCGAGCTCAACTTTCTGGAAACAGGCTGACGGCCGTCCCGTGCGCCGCAGAACGCTGCTCGCTGTACAAAAATAAACGAAAATGAAAACAACAACAATGATAATAATAATAATAATAATAATAATAAAAAACCCTTTAAAAGTTGTGTGTTTTTTTTTTTTTAAAAATGTACAAGCAAGAATTTAGAAAGAAAGAAGTTTTAGACATTATTACCATTCAGGAAACTGCTAAATGGCGAGAGAAAAAAAAAGAAGTGTAAAAGTTCACAAAACAATGCTTATTCAGGATCTCCTTGTGAAAAATTCATACAAAAATCAACAGCAAATTTATATCCTTTGCTATAAAAACTCATTAGGTACATATGTGCATGGAGGCTCGGAGCGGGGGGGGGGGGGTCCTGTCCGAAAGGAGCAGAAGGAGAGCACACACCTGCCAGGTAGTTGCCCAGTGGCGAACGTGTTGGCGATCTGAAAGCTATCCAATCCGGAGTTCAAAAATACGTGAGTTTCAAACGAGATCCCTTTCCGTAAGCACCTTGATGTCTGATTCACAAGTCATTCATTCGCCAGGGACCTTTACGATCTGTATTTATTATATATATATATATATATACTTCTTTTTTTTTTTTCTATAAATGCATTATAAATATTTTATCAAGATTTCATAAGAATCAAGTTTCTTAGCTTGGAATACATTGGAATATATATTATACATATATATATATTTATTTATACCTAAAATTTAAGCAATACTTCATGCTACTTGCTTTTAATAAAAAGCATTCCGATCATAACACTGGAAGTGTGCCTAGGACATGCTTCACGACCAAATGGAGATGCTCAATTGTTATAGGATGTACGAGAAAAAGAACACTTTGGATTCGTTTAAAATTTGTTGGACTTCAAAACCCCCAACAGTATCTGCCACTTTGCTGGAACTACCTCCGTTCCTCTTAGACAGCACTGGAGCAAGCCCGCCCCCGCCCCCGCCCCGGGCCAGCGCGCAGCCACAGGAAACTGTCCCACCAATTCCTGCTGTTTATTTTTTCTTAAGGCATTGTTCCTCAGACGTCAGAAAACCCAGCCACAAAAATCCATCAGAGCAATAAAAAAAAGGCACAAACTCGCATCTTCCGATGGCTTCGAGAAACCAAAGCCAGTTCCCGCAGGCTCACGTTTCTGCGTGTGTCCCGTCTTCCCCTTGCACGCGCGCCCAGCTCCGGCCCCCGCCCGTCGCGGACCCCGCGGCCCCGTGGGCCCCGCCGCGCCGCTGTGGCGCCCGGTCGCGGCCGGGGCCCAGAAAACGTTCTCTCGAACAAAAAAAAGAAGCTACAGGATGAGTCGAGTGGTTTACACGGAGACTGTGGAATTGTGGGTAATAATCAACTGTGAGCACCAGTTTTCATCGAGTCCGTTTTGTATTATTAGATCTTTGATTTCTCGTTTTCCTTCCCTCGTGGCCACGAAGTGGGCAGCTCTGCCGCGAGCCGCCACAGGCTTCCTTCCTCCGCGGCCTCCGTCGAGGGAGCCGAGAGCCCGGCCTCGCGTGTGTCTGTGCGTCTGCTCGGCCGGCGTGGGTCCCGGTCCGCGCTGGGCCGCCCCGTCGGGCAGAGGCCTCCCGCTGCTGCTCCAGCCGCGCTCGCGGATGCGGGTGGGCCGCACACAAACAGGAGCCGCTCTTGGCGGAGCTTCAAGACGGGGACAAACAAACAAGAGACCCGCAGCTCGGCGGGCGGCTACAGGGGCGGCTCCTCTTCCATGGGCTCCTCGTCGGGTCTGCGGCGGCGCCGGGCGAGAGACAGAGGGGGCCGCGGCGTGAGGCCAGGGCCACCCGGAGGGCCGCCCGCCCCTGCACCCTGCCCCTCTGCACCCCCCGCCCCCACCCCAGAGCGAAGGCTCTTCGAGGGTTCCCACGGGCCTTTCACCCTGGAAAGAGGGAGCCCTGCAGCCCGCGTCCACCGTGGGGCCGGCACCTGCCTGCCAACCCGCCATCCCCCGCCCCCGTATCTCTCCCCCTCCATCCCTGCAGCCCTCCCCCTGCATCCCCCTGCACTCCACCCTGCATCCTTCCCCCTCTATCCTTCCATCTCTTCCCCCTCCACCCTCTCCCCTCATTCCCCCTGCATCCTTCCCCGTCTCCATTCCTCCCCCCTGCATCCCTCCATCCTTCCCCTTCCATCCCTGCATCCTTCCCCCTCTATCCTTCCATCTCTTCCCCCTCCACCCTCTCCCCTCATTCCCCCCTGCATCCTTCCCCATCTCCATCCCTCCCCCCCTGCATCCCTCCATCCTTCCCCCTCCATCCCCATAACCCTTCCCCCTCCATTCCTGCATCCCTCCCCCCTGCATCCCTCCATCCTTCCCCCTCCATCCCTGCATCCCTCTCCCGTCCATCCCCCCATCCCTACCCCACACCCGACCATCCCTCCCTGGGATGCCCAAGCAGGAGGCAGGGCCCAGTAGAGAAGGCACGTGCCCACAGGACAGCAGAGGCCCGGGTGCCCGCAGAGGGTGGTCCCGCTGGCAGAAGGGCCCGCCGGGAGTGGGGGCGGAGGCGCTCACCTCTTCTCGGCGGGCTTCACGCCCACGGACAGCGAGGCCATGGCGGTGACAGTCTCGGCTTCCTCGTTCTCGCACTTCTGGGCCTCTACCAGAGAGTGCCCCACCGTGGAGCAGAGGCGCGGCAGGGATCGCCAGTACTGGCCTGCGGGAGGCGGGGGGGGGGGGGGGGCTGGGTTACTGGGCCTCCCCGGGCTCAAGCCTGACTCCTCAATGGCGCCTTTAAAAGCACCTGTTGCAGGAGAGGAAGCCAGGCAGCACCCAGGCTACGGGCTCGCAAGGGCAGGGCTCCTGGAGTCGAGTCCTCCCCGAGCAGGGCACTGGTGGGGGGCAGGGGGGCCGTGAGAGCGGGGCTGCCCCCGACTCCAGAGAGCGGAGCACAGGACGGCCCGGTGCGAGGGGGAGGAGACGAGGGGGCCGCAGCGCCAGGGGAGCGTGTGGGGGCCGGCCGCTCGGTGTTTGCTCGCACACACGGGGGCTCGTCAGCGGGGCGGCTGGCGGGGACCCGCGTCTGGGGAGCACCGGGCGACCCGCCTACACCGCGGCCTCAGTAACCTGGGTCATCCCTCATCCCTGGGGCTCCCCGCCGAGCACGTGGCCCACACAACTCACTGTGGATCTCAATGACTTTCTCCATGGACCGGACAGCGTTAGCGTTGGGTCTCTGCTGTAAAACCTTTTCTGGGAGAGGATCAAGCTAGAAAAAAATATACAAATACACAGTAAACGTGACGGATGTCGACATAATCCCTGCACGTGTTCTGTTCAGGGAGGTTTGAAGTCAGCGTCGCTTTCTTGAGTGTGTTTACGGGCAGAAAAGCAGCAGCAGCCAAATGTGGCTTTGCTATTTACTGTAGACTTTTTTTATTTTTTTTATTTTATTATCATTATTTTTTAAAGATTTTATTTATTTATTTGCGAGAGACACATACAGAGAGAGAGAGAGTGACACAGGCAGAGGGAGAAGCAGGCCCCATGCAGGGAGCCCGATGTGGGACTCGATCCCGGGACCCCGGGGTCACGCCCTCGGCTGAAGGTGGCGCTAAGCTGCTGAGCCACCCGGGCATCCCCTGTACAATTTTTTAAAAAACGGAAGTAGATTTATTTTCTTTGAGGTATTCTTCTCGGGAGACCGTCAGGTGTGCTCGTGAGCTCCCGGCTGAGCGGACACCGCATCCAGGAGCGGGCCGGCGGGCAAGGACGTCTGCTTGGAAACCCACTGAGACACCGTCTACACCACCCCGTGACACTAGGGAAACAATGACTGCTCTCTGGAAATACCACTTTCACATCCCTAGTCTTACACGTAAGAATGCTTGGACATCCTGTCGATGGTTTTCTTCCAAAAATGGGGGAAAAGGTAAAAGAAAGAAGAAAGCGAGGGGAATCTCTGAGGGGGGCCTGTGCTCCCGGTTTTCTGGTCGGTGTGGACGGCAGAGGACGGGACGGAAGCCGCAGGGGACACCGGGCGTCCTCCACACGACACCTAAGCACGCTCATGGAGATACATCATGAAAACACAAAAGTAATTTTAAAGATCTTTAAATTATTAGACAAGCCTACAAAACTGGGGGAGATCTGCTGGGTTCCGGAAGGAAGCTGGAAGCTGCTCAGGGCGGTCACGCATCCCGGGACAGGCCTGCACGACAACGGCCACGGCCCCCCACGTGCCCCGAGCTGAGCCAGGCTCACGCAGACGAGGTGCCCACAGGGACAACCGGTGGGGGGGTCTGTTCTGAGCCTGGGCTCTGTGGGCAGGGACGGGCCAGGGTCTCCCTGGGAATGCGCAGGTTCCGCCGTCAGCGGAGGGCCGCGATGTGCGGAGCAGCCGTGCACCCTCTCGGGAGGCGCCTGCCAGTGTGGCCAGTGGGTTCCAAGGGCTGAGTCCCCGGCCGCACACATCATGAAGCACGGGAGTCGGCCGGCGCGGGCGGGGCTCAGGAGAGACAAGCGGGGTCTCCGGCAGAGGACCCAGGCTCCGGGGCAAGTGCGGCTTCCCAGGCGGGGGACGGCCACGCAGCGGGGCCGAGACTCGGGCTGGAGGGGCCAGCAGCCGTGCGGGGGGAAGTCAGTGCCCGAACACGTACCGGGAGGAGACACGCGTTCCTCGAGAAGCATCTGAGATGCCTCGGGTACCCAGCCCCTCCGCGACAGCTGTCGCCTAGCACCTTCCGACCTCCATCCTCTGTCTCCTCGGGCAGGAGCCGAGCCGCGGCCCCGGCCTCCCTGCAATGGGCCGCATGGAAGGGGGGAGAAGCCGGCTCGACGGGGAAGGCGGCCGACGCTGCTCTACGCAAGTGCTCGCGGTTCATGTCCCCAGAGAGAAGCCGCGCGCCCGGCATGGGCCCGGACAGAGGAGGGCACTGCGCCCGGGTCCCCTGCCCCGCTTCCAGCACAAGGGAAAAGAGGACCAGCACGAGGGCTCTTCTACAGCATAGCCGCGAGCCGTGCCTGATTGCTGACAACTGTCAATACTCCAAAAATGACAACCCAGGGCAGCCTGAGAGGGCGCGGGCACGGAAAGGTTGGACGCACAGTGGGGTCCTGGGCGGGGCCCCGACACGGCAAGGGCGGCCGTGGGAGGGCGAGTGGACCTGGGGACGTTCTCACGCGAGCGACCCAGGCTGGGACCCAGGCCCACGCGGTCACGCGGCACCGAGGCAAAGCATCCGAGTCCGCGCTGCCGCTGTCCTCCGCAGCCAGCGCTGCCCGGAGTTAGAAGTCTAGTAAAAAAAACTGCAGGTTTAGACCCTCAAAGACCACAGTTACTGAAATGATCAGTTTTAAACTATAAGGTAAATGATTAGTGAGTATTAGAAGTAAGACACGGACGCAGGATTACTGAACCGAAGCGGACGATTTAAAGCCGGCCCAGGAGAACGTCTGCGAATGGAATCACAGCTGCGGCAGCAATGACCCTGAATGCGCCGGGGACGAGGGGAGCGAGCGGGTTGGGTCCGTCTGCTCGGTGTCCCGGGGCAGGGGGAGAGGGGACGGGACCCGGGCAGGAAGAGTCACAAGAAGCGTCCGCCCGCCCGGGTCCGTCAGGGCGCAGCCGCAGAGCAGGGGACGGGGGGACGGCCAAGGACAGGACAGGACGGGCGTGGCCGTCAAAGCCCCAGAGGCAAGGGCTGTCAGCCCAGGACGGTGAGCCGGTCAGTCAACACCGAAGGCGGGGCGGCCGGGGGCTCGTCTGACCCTTGATCTCAGCTCAGGTCAAGATCTCAGAGTCGAGAGTTCACCCCCACGCTGGGCTCTGGGCTGGGGGTGGAGTCTTCTTTAAAAGAAAAAAAAAAAGAACGAGGATAAAATCGTGACGTGGGGAAGCGGACACCCGCGTCCCGTCCCGGGAAACGTGTGGGGTGTGCTGAAGGCACAATGATCCCGGGCGGTGGTCTGAGCGGCGGGAAGCGAGAAGCAGGAGAGGCCGCACGAACGGGGACCACGTGAAACAACAGGAATGGTGTCGAATCGGTGCATTTAAACGGAGAAACAAGGAAAGAGGGCGGAGGGGCTGGTCAGGGGCTGCACACCCCCAGGAGGGCCGGAGCGAATGGACACACAGGACTCGGGCCAGCACCGGTCAGTGGGGGCAAGCGGGTGGCTTCTCCGTGTCCCACGTCCAACGAGCGTGCAGGGTTTGGTCTGCACCCCCACCCCGGGTCTGGGTGGCCACGGGGCACTGGCCACGTCACGGGTGCATGTGAACACCTGCAAGGATCGCCGCCGGGAAGCAGCAACGAGCCACGTGTCTTCCCACTCGGCAGGAAGGGATGGCGCAGGGGCCCTCCACGTGGGCGGAAGGGGGCCCACGCGGCAGAGACTCGGACGTGGAAAGCGTCTGAGAAAAGCAAAGCAGCAGAGAACAAGGAGCAACCAGAGCAACTGTGAGGCCCAGAGTCTCCACCTAAAGGGCAGACCGTGGCCTGGCGGCGAAACAGCACGACGTCCAGCCTCGTGCCGTTCACGCAGGAAGCGTCTCGGAGCGGGGAGGCTGGAGGGCAGCACGCTGTGGGCACCCCCGCACGACGCCCGTCAGCGGGCAGCCGGAGCTGCTGGTACAGGAGGCCGCCACGGGGGATAAAGGTTTCAGTTCATCGGAAGGATAGGACGACTTGAAGTCTGCACGTTCGGTAAAGTTGCTTGATGTGCGGGCGGTGACGCGGCCAGAGCACGGGGTGGACAGTCGCGCCACGGCAGGACAGGCTGGCACATCTTTCCCAGGCACACACAGAAGTCGGCGGAGATCCCAAGCGTGAGCGGCACCGCGGACGGGCCTGGGCGAACAGTGGTCTGGCCGCGGCGGGGGGGGGGGGGGCAGGACACGATGCCACTGCACCCGCTGTTCTTAGCTCAGCGCCGCCTGTCAGAAGCTGGGACCAGAGGAGGGCCGCGGCCTTGAGGTTGGAAACTGAACGAGTGACCGATCGTGGGGCAGCGGGGTGACCGCGGAAACCAGGGATGCTCGGAGACAAAGAGCAATGAGAACGCCGCACACGGGCGGGCCCCGCGCAGCCTCAGATGCCCCCAGAACGAGGAGGCGCTCCGTGAGCAAGAGAGGAGAGCGGATCCGGAGAAAGACGTAAAGAAAATACACGGGGAAGGAGCAGAAGCCAAGTTTGGAAAAGAGAAAGGACGCCGCAGCTGGACGTGGAGTTTCTGAAACGGCTGCAATGGGCAAGGTCAGCAGGACGGCGAGGAAGCCACCGAGGCACAAACGACCTGCGGCGTCCGCGGCCGCTCACGGTGGCGCCCAGGGGGACACGGCCCAGGCCCACCACCCCCTGCGGAGGTTTCGGGGAGTCAGTCATGGCTCATGTCACCCAAACGGTCACCGCTGGCCTGAGCCGAGCCTGGCTGGGAGCGCGAGCGCGGGTGGGGGCGCGTGTGCAGTCGGGCAGACCCGACGGGCTCAGACGAGTGGCCGTCAGGCTGAGTTGGTGCAGGGGTGCAGGGGGGGTGGGGGGGGGGTCCACCTCCTCCTTCCTGGCCTGGCCGCAGCGAGTGTGTGCAGACTGGTGCAGCCCTCAAAGCCTGCAGGGCCGAGGAGGGGCCGGCCCAACTCTCCTGCATTAGGAAGGTGTTAAGAGACCTTGATAAAACTAGTGCTTCCTGCTCTTTGATGTGCTGAGCCCAAGAACATCTTCCTGTTAGGAGAGCAAACACCCAGGAAGCAGGAGCAGGCCTGAGCCGAGAGCTAAGGTCTTTATTGTCATTTTAAAATAAGTAGCTGGACTGCTCGGAAAGCTCCAGGCCGCGTGGAACACGTTACTCAACTGCCTTTAAGCTCCAACAAAAAAAAAAGGAGGAAAAGGCTGCCTGATGTGCAGGAAGGGTGCGTGAGGCGTGGACGCTTTAAGACGCTCGCTGGTGTTCGATTCTAGGAGAGTCTGGCGCGCTGCCGACCACCTGGCCGGGAGGGAGACACGCGTGGGCCCTCGGGTCTGCTTGTGACTTAGCTTAAAGCACGGCTGATGCCAGGACTTGGGTTCGGACCTCCCGTCTGCCCCCAAATGCCGTGTTGTCAGCTCTGTCCACCCTGCGCCCAGAGGGGCACGGGCCATGCACCCCATCCTGCTGCTGCTTTGACCCAAGACAAAAGGGAACACCACCGACTGCAAATGGCTCGAGGACAGAGCCCTCCATCCCGTCCCTGGAGACCTGTCTACGCGGCATCATCCCACCCTGTCCTGTTGGATGCACATTTAATCTGTGCCTCCGAGGGCCTGCTTGAACCCCCTTTGCATCTCCCAAACCGAGCCCCCCTCAAATGCCTTGTGGGCTCTGCCGTGGGCTGCTTGCCCCCGAGGGGGGTCTAGGAGGGCAGCCTTGGGGTGAGCCTGCACCTGCTCTCGGGGACGTGTCTCTTGGAGGAACCCGAGCTGCGGCTCAAGCTTCCCGGCTGAGACAGTGCAGGGACGCAGCCCCACGGACGCGTCTATGGTGGGTGAGGGGCGTCAGCAGGGGCCGCCCTGCTCATGGGAACCGGCTGGTACCCTCACCACCTCTCCCTTTCCCGGGGCTTCTGGGCCTTCTGGTCTTGGCGTCTCCCGACAGGGGTTAGTGCAGCGAGTGGGAGGGGTGCCCTCCCCCGTGGCCTCCCCAGCACCCATCCTCCGGGCCACTCTGCTCTCCCAACCTTCTTGTGGACTGGACACCAGGACACCCCACAAGCGGTCCCTGCCATATGGGGTCAGGGGTCACTCGGGCTCCTAGCACTGCCCCCGCCATATGGGGTCCTGGTGTGGTCAGTCCTCCTGGGGTGTGTGTCCTCCACCCTCCGTCGGGGCCTCGTCACTTGGGCTGCCCTGAATCTTGGTGGGGACTGGCAGGAGGGTGGCCAGCACAGGGACAGCTGCACCCCACTGGACACCCAGGGAACCTGCCCTAGGGAGAGTGTCCTCGCACACTGTGGACCTATAAACCTGGGACAGCATGGAGCAGAGCTCGTGGGCTGCCTCCGGGTGTCCCCCACGTGGGCTGCAGGCACCTGCTGCTGCAGGGCGAGCCAGGACCCAGGGCGCTCTGACCGCACCCCACCCCGGGCAGCAGCTGGCTTGCCCCAAGGACCCGCACGGAATGCCACAGCAACACGGGCAAGCTGTGCTGTGAGGGGCCGGGACCCGCCTCACGCTCCTTCGGGGGATCGGGAGGTGGGTGTGTGACCCCATGTCCAGGGGCCTGTGGATGGATTTGAAATTGTAGGAAGAGCAGGTTTCCGAAAATCAAAGTGGAAGCTACGGTAAGTTTTGTGTCACGAACTTTAGCCGCTCGGTGAGCTGCGGAGCACACGTCGGGCGGCACCTCCCCTCCCGACACCCGTCCGTCCGTCCACCCACGGCCGGGCAGCTCTGCCCACTGGGAGCACAGCCGGGAGGCAGGGGCCCTGGGCTGGTGTCATTCCGGAATGGGACACCCCCAGGACCGTCTCCCTTGAGCCCTCCACTCCCTCTCCCGGCCGGACCGCCTGAGCTCAGCCGTGCAAGCCAGCAGCTCCCTGACTTGGTCCCGCAGCCTCACTGGGGACAGGGCGCGGGGGCTCCAAGCCTGGGCATCAGCTGTGGGTTCGGAGCAGGGAACCGGGGCTCCGTGCCCCAGCCTGTGAGACCTGCAGTGACGCGGCCCCCAGAACTTACCTTAGAACCGCCCGCCTGCAGAGAAAGAAGCTGGATTAGAATATTCTCCACCTAACCCATGGGCAGGGGAGCACCTGCAGAACAGGCCCCTGAACCACCCTACAGAGAAAAGGGCTCCCGGCCTTGTCCCTCATCGGATGGCCTCCCAAGCGGGTAGCGGTCCTACTACGGGTGATGAGCACAGATGCAGCAGCCCACGGGCTTGGGGCTTGGGGCCTGGGGCCTGGGGTCTGGACCCTGGGCCCGCGCACCAAGCAGCCCTGGGACCCGGCTCCTCCTACCTCATTGCCCAGCAAAGCAGAAACACATGCTTCCGAGGCGTCGCAGATGGCCGTGAGGTCGTGGCCCCCCTCCAGGGCCAGAACGATCCGGCCGCCAGCCAAGCCCATCAGCTGCTTCGTCAGGTACCCGAAACCTGCAAGAGGAAACGGGAGATGCAGGCGGGGGCCGCGGGCGGGCGCGGGGCGGAGGCCTGGCCGCCGATCAAAGCGCCCAGAAACGCGTTACATCACATTACAGAGACCCAGGGGGCCGGCGCTCCGAAACACATAATAGAAGCCAGGTCTGATTGTAATAAATTCATTGAAGAACCTCAGTTTGGGATTCTTTTTGATCTGTTTGAGAGTAGGAATTACGGTTTTGATGCTTTGATTGTATAATGCCGCAAATCATCTCGTTTGGGGGAAGGAAGGGACCCCGGGAGGAGCCCCACGGCTGCACGCTGGGACCACGGAGGGGGGAGCGGGGGGAGCGAGGGTGCGGCCCTGCAGCTGCGCCCTCACGGCCTGGGGACCAGAGGCCCGGGGGTCTGGTCAGCGGTGTGCCGGGCACACGTGTGTGCGTGTCCGTTCGTGGGCACACGCACCGCTGTGTGGGCCCCTCCTGGACTCTCACGCCCCGTGACCGGCGTGTCTGGCTTTCACCAACAACTGCAGCGCGCCCCCTGCGCCACGTCCCCCCCACCCGCAGAAAGCACCTGGCGGCTAACGGTGATGACCATCCTCGCTGGGACCGACCGACGTGGACTAGAGCCGCCCCGATCAGCGGCCCCGTCGCAGCCGCAGCAGCACCCGGGGCCCAGGGCTGGCGGCGCGTCCTGGCGGCTGCAGGCCCCGTGAGGCCCAAACCTCCTGAAGGCAGCAGTGACGTGGCTGCGTCTCCGATGGAAACTGTGACGGGGCCCCCAAGGCCGCCGCGACGCCCGGACCGCGCCGTTCACAGCGGGAAGGCGGGCGGCAGCGCAGAGTCCAGCAAGTCGGGTGCCGCCTTCTCCCTCAGCATCTGCGCACTCTGCCTCCGTCACATTTTGCTAATTCTCACAATATTTCAAACTTGCTCGTTATTATCACTACGTTAGGGTGATCAGCGATCACAACTCCCCTCAGACTCACGATGGGTCGCACATCTCTGCAACAGCGTGACCTTTGATTACGCTGCGGACACTGGTTTGCAGACATGATGCTACCCCACACCTGGCAGACCTCGATGTCCTGCAAATGCAACTGTTACCTGCGCTGGGAAACCCCTGATTCTCCGGCTTTGCCGTGTTGCGGCATCTGCTTTATGGGGGAGCTGGGCCTGAACTCTGGCCGAGCTGAGCCGGTAAACGAGGGGGCTCGGAGCACCCACAGCACAGTCTGGCCGCACGCGGGGGCTGCTGGGCACAGGGCTCCCTCTGGACCCCGCACCCAGGTCAGGAGGGCTCTGAGGTCAGTGCGGGAGCACGGCCACCCCAAGAGCGTCCCTGCGTGTCCTGGCCCACGCCGTGCGGTCCTGCTGTGCGCCCTGTGCGCTCTGGGGCAGCCGGCACCCGTCGTGTTTTTGCTAAGACGCGAGGAGGAGGGTTTCCTCCTGTTGAAGGGGAGGCTCGGCACACAGAGGGCGCCTGATCCTAACAACAGCAGAATCCAGACCGTGTTCCCGCGCCATCTGCAGACCCGACTTACATTTGGCGGAGAGGTTGTAGCCGCCGAGGGGTGTGGGGTGGCCCTCCACAGCGTCAAAGCCTGATGACACGAGCACCACGTCTGGGGCAAACTCGTTCGCGATGGGCATGACCACGGTCCTGCAGAGGGAGGAAGGGGACACCGGGTCAGCGGAGGTCACGGCCACGGAAGAGGCCGACGGCCGCTGACAGAGCCTGCCCCGTCTGCCCTCGAGGCCAGCGGCACCTGGGGGCCCACACTCAGGAGACCCGCCCCGCGTGCTCACGGCTCCATTTGCTGATACCTCAAATGTCCAGACCAAGGACCCCAACATCGAGGCCCAGTGCGGCCACGGCACAGCGGGTCTCGAGCCTCCGTGATATGTTGGAGGTGGCCTGTAACCCCCACGCACCAGCTGCCCGGGCTGCGGAAGATGCTCCCCACCCCTCACCCCTGCGCCCTGCCCGGCCTGTCTCGCCCCTGTAGGGGGGCGGCTCTGCTCAGCCCTACACTTGCGTCACGTTTCAAGAAAGGCACAGCCACCTCCCGGCCCAGCAGCAAGGACCCCGAGCCCCGGGCAGCCCTGGCCCGCAGGGGGCCCCCGGTGCCCTCCTCCCACCCCATCCACCCCCGGGGCCACAGACGCCCGGATGAGCCACCTGCACGCCCTTGCCGGGTTCATCTGGGGACCTGGGATCCTTCAAGGGACAGCTGACGATCAAATTTAAGAGCACAGACAGGTTAAAAGTACAGATGCCACGGAGAAGTTCAGTGGTTTAGGGATATTAGGGAAACAAGGAAAACCGCTCACTTGAAAAGGAGAAGAAACGCTTAGGAGGAAGCAGCCGCCCGCGAGCACGCGGTCTCACTGTACCAGCGTCCCGTGAACACGCTCTGAGCCAGAACCGGGCGCGCAGTGAGAGGCTGGACGACGCCATGTGTCAGTTAAACTTGCTTTATTGGATTCTGAGTCCCTCCCCGCAGACTTCCCGTCTCCCTGGTCCCCCTGGGCGCGGCGGGCTCACCGCAGGTGCCGGCCCCCATCACCCACACCCCTGCACCTCGGCGGGACGCAGCACCGGCTCACGGCCGTGGGGAGTCTGGGTCTCCCCGGCTGCCGCAGGCTGGACCGAGTTTCTACGGCTCCAGAGGGCGGCCTCCCGCTCCCGGGCCTCCACCGGCGCGCAGGCCCTGCGGCTCATCAATGACGGTCACGTCGGGCGCACGGCGGCCCAGAGGCCCCCTCGGCGAGCGGCCCCACGCACCCGGCCCCGCCGCTGGTCCCTTCCCACCTAGGTCGGTGGGGCCCCTGGGGCCACAGGGCCGCAGGCTGGCGTGAGTGTTACAAAGTAAAACTCGTCATGACATTTGCCCTTGAAGTCCGCCGGGCCAACTCCGTGAAGCACCACCTGGGACCAACAGAACGTTCCGCTCAGGAACGAGTCTGGACGGTGATCCTCTTGAGAAATCCCTCTGGTTTCAGAGGGGCCAGTGACGGAGACTCCAGAGGACGACACACAGGGTTAGGACCTCGCCGCCCGTCCCTGCAGGTGGCATGGGGCACCCACGGCCCGATGCCCAAGGACCCGGGGAGCGAGCCCTCGGAGAACGTCCGTGACGCGGGAGCGGCCTCCGCTTTCCTCTGACCGCGCCGGGCACCGCGACCTCCGCCGCAGACAGGCCACAAGCTCACGCCCGGGCACGGGCCGGGGCTCGGCTCCTCTGAACTGCTCGCGGCTTCCCTCCCAGGCGGCGCCCACTGCGCGCGGCTGCCCCCGCGCTGCCTCTGCCACAGGCCGTGCAGGCGGCCTCAGAGGAGGCAGGTCTGTGCCCTGGGGACCGTCCGTCAGGGGCTGCAGGGACCCCACCTGGGACCCCCGACCAGGCGCCAGCAGACTTCCCCGCCAGCGTCGCCTTTGGGTCCCGGGGCCCATTGTGCGAGAGCGGCCACACTCGCCCCTGAACACTGTGCGAGGTGTGTTCCACTAAAGCAGGAGGCGGGATGTCAGGTACACTCTGACCCCGGTCGGGACGACTCCGCTTACGATCCTCAGCGCGGGGCACCTGCCCACCCCCGTGGCCACGAGGAGGCTGCAACAGAAGCTCTCCCGATTCTGAAAACGCAAAGTGCAAACCAGAGGCTTCTCAGCAGACTGTGCGCTTCAGAGCAGGTGCCGGGGCCCGGGATACCTGTCCCGTTGCGGCGGCCGGAGGTGACAAGTCCTGGGTGCGGGCGGGCAGGACGGGGCAGTGCCTTCAGCCTGGGCCACATCCCCCGCCTTCACCTCGTGGCCAGAGACGCCGGCTGCCTCCCCGCGGGTTTCCCTGGGTGGCCCCCGACGGCCCGTGGGGTGTAGCGGTTCCAGAGAGACGGTTTTTAAATTATTCTAATGAAGTTCCTGTTGCATAAACTTTGTCTTTAGGCAGAAGAAGTTTGAGCCACGTGTTCGGTACAGATGTTACAGCCGAGCCTGTCTTCAGGGAAAACCACAGACACTCCGCGTCGACAGCGGCTCATTCGCAAAGCGCTTTGGGGCCGTTTTGAACCAAGTGCGTACGGTGGGCCCAGTTCTCTGCCTTGAAGCACTGCTGAGCTGCTTCGTTCTCACCCCCGCCCCCCCGACAAAATGAAAAACAAACGACAGCGCTGTTGGGATCATCATCGTCCCTAGAGAGTCGCTGGCGTCTGCACTTGCCGCGTGGCATCGCTGCGAAGCCGATCAAAACAAATCGTGAACCCTGTCGGTGTGCGTGTGCGAGCGGGACCCGGCCCATCAGCCGCGCACGAGCCTGGGCCGCCGGCTAGGGGCACGCACGCTCGCTCTATCCTGGTCCGGGGGCCTCCGGGGCCGAGGGGGTCTGCAACGCCGCTGAGACATCGCCTCCCCTCGACGGACTCTGCTTCCTCACCTACGAGGAGGGGGTGCACGGCCGCCCACATCTTCACCCCAGGCGGGACCCCCCCCCTTCACAGACGCCGTGAAGAAAACGGGCATCTGGCCTCGCGTTTTAGTTCTAGAATGAAATTTTAACCAACGACCTGTTGTCTGATGACAGATGGAAACGTTTACTGCAGACCCTCTCTCCGACCGTCACCTTAGGGTGAGTTTCTGTGGGGCTGCCCTGACCTGCTGCAGGGCAGCGTGAGGGCCGAGGGGTGGGCAGGGGCTTCCCGAGGCTGCGACCACCCACTGTCCGCTTGCAGGCAGGGCGGGCTCATCTCCCACATGGAAGGCCCCAAACCCGTGCTCCTCGCAGGCCTCAGGCCGTGGTGCGGTCTGTGCCCACTCACGCCAGGGGACGCTCGGGAGCTTGGGGGCAGCCAGGGCGTCCGAGTGCCCCAGAAGCACGGTCCACGCCGCCTGCCTTCAACATCTCCTTTCACGAGGCGCCCGGGCCGTCTGCCCTGTCGCGGTCGCGTACTGTCGGTCAGGCTTGCGGTGACACGTCTGCAGCCAGAGGGCTCGGGAGGCGGAGCTGCCGGATGGACGGTCGCCGCTTCCAGACGGACAGCCTGGTGCCCCCGGAGGCTGGGGACTTGGTTTCAACCACCTCGGCTCCGGTGAGCGCCAACCCCTCCTGTCCGCTGTGCACACCCTCACTCGAGGGCAGGAGGGGCTGGTGCACCCGCCCTGCCATCTGCACCCGCTGCACCCCTGCACGGGGTGGGCCCGGCCTGAGGGCTCCGTCGGTTGGGAGAGGCCGGTCCTGGCCCACCAAGCATCCCGTCGCTGCTGAGTCGGCGTCGGAACACAGCGAGAGCTGGGAAGCAACACTGTGCTCCGGTGCCCCGCCTGTGCCATCCGCCGCCCCGTCCTGCTCCGTCCGCCCCACAGGCCAGGCCCTCGACCGTCCGTCCCGTCTCCTCGATGCCCCCGCCCTGCACACCCGCAGCCCCCAGCCTCACATGCTTCCTGGCTCTCCGTGCTCTGCTCACCCAGACCTTGCCCTGGTGAGGTGAGGACACCCCTCCTCGGCGGCAGGGGCCAGGGCGCCTTCTGGCGACCCCCGCCCCTCCCTGCTGCTCCTGTCTGGCTGTCCCTCGCAGGAGGTGGGCACCTGGTGCTGCTGGATGGGCGCACCCCTGCACCCAGGGCCCCATCCACGTGGTGCCCCCTCCCCACTGTCACCGTGGGCCCCACCGGGCTTGGGCTCACCGCAGCTGCCCTGCCCCCAGGTGCCCCCACCTCTGTCCCGTCACCATCCTCAGGCCTGTCTAGGGCCTGGCACTCTTGGCCGCCAGCCCACCCATCTCGCAGTGCCCCCCGCCCCTCTGCAGCACCAGGAGCACACGGCAGGGGCAGCGCAGCCTCCCCAGGGCGGCCCTCAGACCCCGGCTGGCTAGAGGAGCAGGTCTGCACTCGGCCCGGCGCCGCGGCCCAGGCCTCTCCCAGCTGCTCCCCTCTTGTGCTTGGTCTCTGCCTCGGTGTCCCCATGCTCTCACCTGGGTCCCTGCCCCACTCTTGGCAGGACTCAACTTGCCCTGGGCGCTCAACCTGAGCAACAAGTGTTTACGAGACGGCCCCTCCCGACCTGTGTCCCCTCAAGGCTCCCACCAGACAGCCGTCGAACATCCAGATCTGCCACGTAGGTCACCTGGGGACAGCCCCTGACAGGCTCCTCCACGACAGGCCACGGTCCTGGTCCCCAGAGGCGGCCCTGCACGCCGGCAGGTTGGCGTCTGCGGGTCCGCGTCCCTCCAGGACTCAGCCAGGAAGCTGCTGCCCCTCCGCGGGCAGGTGCCCGAGCACCGCGTCACTCACTGCTGCCGTCCTGCGGGAGGGCTGGCAAACCCGAGCTTCCGCACTCCGCGGCGGCCCCACTGTGGGACGCCCCCGCCAAGACGTCCGCCTAGGGGAAGGGGGCTGCCCCTCGAGAGACGGCACTGCCGTCGGTAAGAAATGCCCTGGGGTTTGCATCAAGTGTCTTCGCGACAGCGAGTCCCCGACAGAGGCAGAGGCTCTCGCCCGACACGGCGCTGTGGGCACGGAGGGCGCCGCCGAGCTGCACAAGCCACGCGGCTGCGACAGGAGGCCTTCTGGGCGTTTCACCACGACAATGAAAACCTAAGAATTTTTGTTAAAAAAAAAAAAAAAAAGCAAAGAAAGACCCCCGCAGAAGTCCTTACGGAAGGAACAGAAGTTCAAAGACCTTCGATCTTCACGTCACGCTCGAAAGGCTCGGGGACGTGAGATGATCTGCCCAGCCGCTCAATTTAAAGGCAAATCTCAATTCATTAAAAGATTAAAGTTACCACTTCAAAATACCCAGTTTCTCTGACATCTCTGATAAACTTCACCAAATCGCATTCAAACCGAGGTTACGGTTTCGACGCACACGTAATCCCGGGCTCATTTCCTGCCTGCACGGCGACCCGCGGGCCCCAGACGGCAGGCCGGCGCAGGCAGCAGCGCATCGCGGTGTCCGTCCGCCCAGGGCCTCGCCTCCGCTCAGCAGACTTCAAAGCCCGTCTGGCGGCGCGCTGGTTTGAATTAGGGTCGCCGTGTCTCCGCAGTCCGAGCCCGGGGAGAAAGTGCCGCTCCTTCTGGATTTCATTAGGGCCACCTTTCTTATCTCTTCTTCATCTCAGGCTTGATCTCCTGAAATGCAACGTGGCAGGCAACGGGCCTGGGGAACAAGGTGCTGCCCCCGAGGCGCACACTGTCCCGGGGCCCCCCCGGCAAGGGGGGAGAAGCGCAGAAGGAAGGGGAAAGCGGATCCTGACCCTTCTTCCCCCAGCGATCGATGCCCAGGGAGCCATACATTGTAAACTTCAAAGCACTATTTTACATTAAAATCAATAAAAAAATAAAAAAATAAAAAGCAACCCAACCCTGAAACAATTTTCCCTTTCAAAGGAGCTATTTAAGCTCTGCAAAGTTCATTTGATAAGGTATCATCGTGTATACACTTGGCAGAGGATGAAAACAGAACGTCAACAGCAACTCAGAGGAAGGGTTCATCTTAAAGGCTGGCCCGGGGCGGGACCAGGGGCCGGGGGACTAGGGTGGGCGGGGAGGGCAGGGGGGCTGGGGGGCCAGGGAGGGGCGGGGGACTGGGCTGGGGACCAGGGGCGGGGGTTGGGGACTGGGCTGGGGACCAGGGGCAGGGGACTGGGGACCAGGGAGGGGGCCAAGGGTCGGGGGACTAGGGTGGGCGGGGAGGGCAGGGGGGCTGGGGGGCAGGGAGGGGCGGGGGACTGGGCTGGGGACCAGGGGCGGGGGTTGGGGACTGGGCTGGGGACCAGGGGCAGGGGACTGGGGACCAGGGAGGGGGCCAAGGGTCGGGGGACTAGGGTGGGCGGGGAGGGCAGGGGTGCTGGGGGGCCAGGGAGGGGTGGGGGTTGGGGACTGGGCTGGGGACCAGGGGCAAGGGACTGGGGACCAGTGTGGGGTCCCACGGGACCAAGGGGCAGTCCCCAGGGTGGAGTCTGACCCCCGCGTGCTGGGCATCTCCATCCCAGAACCAGCACACCTGGGGGACACGGTCCCGTGGAAGCCTGGCTGCAGCGTCCCCCGCCCACCAGTCCAGCACGGGCCACCCTCTGCCCAGCCAGAACTGGCCACGGCGCGCCCAGTTCCTCCGCCCGGCAGGGCTTCCTCCTCTCACGGCAGCCGCCCAGACATTTTATTTTCCACGCAGCCCCCTAGGGCGGCCGGTTCTCAGGCGGTGGGAGGGCAACGTGGTGCTGGCCGCGGGGTGCTCCACGGACCGCATGGAGGATCCCGCTGCTGGTGCTGCACGGTTCGGATTTCGAGAAGCTGAGAGTCGACCGTGTACACCAGCAAACCTGCACATGTTGTATCTGCCTGGGGGCGTCCCTCTCCCTTAAATTAGGCGGGCAGTTGTTGGGGTTACCTCACATCTGATCAGGAGCAGGAAGACACATCGAAATTAAACCCACGAGATCAGATGGGATCCGATTTGGGGGAAAGGCGCGCAGAGAAATCCCATATGGAGGTGTTGGGCTCCGACTCGTACAGACCAGCCCACTGCCCGAGAGGCTGGCCCTGCCCCGACGTAATCAAATCTGGGCCGTAATTTCTACGAACCACCGAGCAGCTGGGGGAGGGAACTCCCGTCCACAGAGCCGCACGTGCCGCCAGACCCAACGGCCGCTCTGAGTGTGGAGACGGGCAAGGAGACGCTGTGAGGGGTCCCGAGGGGTCCCGTGGCCCGTGCAGGGTGCCCACGGCGTGGGCGGCGGCGTCTACAGCAGAAGGCTTACGGACGAGTCCGCCTAAGGAGTCGCACCCACGGGAGACGCGCACACACAGACACAGCTGCACGCCCCCACGCACGCAGCACGTGCACACGGCACAGGGTTCCACGCCTCCACGCACGCAGCCACACGCACACACTCACATATGTCCACGGAGACACATGCATCACACATACACACACCTGCACACGTGTGCTTTGTGTTTAGATCAAGCAGGGATAAAAGCACAGAGGTCAAGGAAGAGGCGGAGAGGAAAGTTCACTGGAAACCTCACGGGCTCCGATCCCTACTGTTCGGACGCGGTTTTCTGACAACGGCCAAGAAAGAGTCCGTCAGGCTCTGCCGCCGAACACCCTTCTCCCCGGGGCCCGCGTTCTGGCGAGACGGCGGGAGACGGCGGAGGCCGCCACTTAAAACGAGGCAGGAAGCCCGCGCTGCGCGCCGTCCACGTTGGGTCGTGGGAATTACTTCAGTCTGGCCCAGATCAAGGTCAAAATCACCATTTGATGACAAAGGCAAACAGCGCGCTTACGGAAAATCACGCAACGGAGCTGCGCAAGCGGGTGGACGCGGGGCAGTGGCCTCAGGACCGCGGCCATCAGGGAGGAAGGTGGTCGCTGTCGCTCGGCCTCTCAGAGAGGGTTTGTGGGGAGGAAAACGGGAGGCGAGCCGATGTTTCAGGACCGAGCGGCCGCTCTCCGTCGACACCACGTTTCTGAGCCCAGCCCGGAGCTGCTCTCCAGGGCCTCAGCCGCTCTTACCATCAAGCCCCCAGGGCGTTCCTGGTTCTCGTGAAGCCCAAGACGCCAGCTGCCAGCATGAGGTGAGGGGACAGTGCCGGAGACCCCCACCCCCCCAGCCCGAAGAACCAATGTGGGGCGGGGGGGGGGAGCACAGGAGCCCAGGGCCCCGGGTCTTCAAATCTCAGCTACGCAAACGCGCGTCTCTACGAGGTGCCGTGAGGGAGGCCGGAGGGGCCACCCCAGATGCGCCTGGGTGTGTGCGGGAAGGAGGAGCCAGGCAAGAACATCACTAAACTAGCAAGAGCTGGGGATGTGGGAGTGGAGCTGCCGACAGCTGTATACATGCCCCTGGGGCACAGGAAGCCGGGACTCTCACCTGAAGGCCGCCAGGTACTCCGCGTCTCCCATGGGGGGGTCAAGGCCACCAGTGAAAGCCATGTTGACGTTGAAGCCCACACCTGGCCCTGTGCCCACCTGTGAAGAGAGACACTCCTATCAGAGGCCCTCACCCGGAGACCGATGGGAGCACCTGACCCCGGTGGCTCCCGGGCCCTCACCCGGAGACCGATGGGAGCACCTGACCCCGGTGGATCCCGGGCCCTCACCCGGAGACCGATGGGAGCACCTGACCCCGGTGGATCCCGGGCCCTCACCCGGAGACCGATGGGAGCACCTGACCCCGGTGGGTCCCGGGCCCTCACCCGGAGACCGATGGGAGCACCTGACCCCGGTGGGTCCCGGGCCCTCACCCGGAGACCGATGGGAGCACCTGACCCCGGTGGGTCCCGGGCCCTCACCCGGAGACCGATGGGAGCACCTGACCCCGGTGGGTCCCGGGCCCTCACCCGGAGACCGATGGGAGCACCTGACCCCGGTGGCTCCCGGGCCCTCACCCGGAGACCGATGGGAGCACCTGACCCCGGTGGCACAAAGTGGGAGTCCAGTTAGGTCCCACAGCAGAGCCCGAGTGCTATGGTCTCCAGCACGTGCCCCCATCGCCCCTCACTTGCCGACATTCACAGCGGAGCGCTGTCACAGAACGCGGGGGCTCACGGCTACTCGTGGGGTGGCCGCAGGAGCAGCCCAGCGGTGTGTGCAGACGGGCAGCTCTGCACTGCAGACACCAAGAGCGGGCAGCCAGAAAGGTCTGTGACTGTCCTTCCCCACCCTCTTCCAAGAAACAAGACCCAGAGGCTGATGGACCTTTTCCCCTGGGTGTTGGGGCCCCTTTGTTCCGAGTGAGGGCCGGCTCTGCTGGGGCACCGGGTGTCACGAAGGAGGCTCTGAGCCGCCAATCCCTGTCCCATGTGTCATGACAGGTGACAGGACAGCACAAGCGCCCAAGGGACCGACCACAGGAGTGGCCTGGAGGTGTTCCGATCGTGCAAAGCAGGCCTGCAGGAGGGGGCACCCCAGGCGTCCTCACAGGCTGCCTGGATTAGAACCAGAAATCAAGTCCGGTTTTTTGTTTGAACTTCAGAGAAAAGAAAGCCCGTGTGTACACACTTGACAGGATACGGCCTGACGACGGCCTGGAATCATCCGGGGTGAAGGGGAGCACCCATGCACCGCCGCGCTCTACCCCAGAGCACCCCGCTCGGCCCCTGCGACGGCCCGCTCACCTCGTCCGGTGCCCCGCTGCCCGGGAAGAAGTTGCCGTCGTCGTAGCGGTGAAGGGAGATGTACAGGACGTTCGGGTCGTTGTAGAAGGCCTGCTGGGTCCCATTTCCGTGGTGCACGTCCTGGGAGAGCAGGGACAGCCGGGTCAGCACCGGCAGGCCCTCGGGGCTCCCTGCCTAGCCACGCGCCCCCAGCAGGGCCAGGGGAGGGCAGGGCCGAGGGGGCAGAGAGAAGAGGCCCGGGTGCGTCCCAGGCGGCTTCCTCGCCATCGGCCCCACGGCCACGGCCGCTCCCGGCAGAGGAAGGGGCTGGCGTTTGAGCCCTACCCCGAGGCCACGACCGTTCCAGACAAAACCATCTGACCACCTTCTTGCCCCTGCCACGTCTGTGAGAAGCGAGCCGGCCACAGCTGCCCGTTGTCGAGCACACGGGAGGTGCCAGCTCTGCGCCCGACCCTGCGGTGTGGCGGGAGACCGTCGCTCGGGCTGGGGCGACAGGTGCGCACACGGCACGGGGTTCCAGGCCCCAGGCTCCAACGACAAACTGCTCATCCTAATGACCGTGCCCACACGTTAAAGGCCCCACAGTGGGGCAGCGGGGCTTCCACGAGGCGCGAGGCCACGCACGGCCCGGGCCGGGGCAGGAGCGGGCCCCCGGGACAGGCAGCCCGCCTCACACAGCGGGCGCACGGGGGCTGCGTGCAAGGTAGTGATCTTCACACCCTGGGAACTGCTCGGTACCTGGGTCATTTGTAAAAGTCATCTACGCTCATTGGAGACGACGTGGCAGGCCAGCTATAAACAAGGAGGTGCAAGGACAGACACCCGATCCCACCAACCAGGAAGCCTCCACGGCTGGGGAGACACACCCCGCGACTCTCGGGACGCGTGCTCTCCGTGACCGAGGCAGCCCCGCATGCGCCTGTGCCGTTTAGAGGGGCGCGGGGAGCCCGGGGTAAGTGGCCCTGTGACCGCCGACTCTCTCTGGGTGCTCTGGCTGCCCCCGGGGGGTGGACTCAGGAGCTGTGAGTCACGTGGCCATGAACTGAGCCACGCGGGACGCCTCGACAGCACGGCTAGGTGCTCCCTCGGGAGGAGCTGAAGCCCGGCTCCTGGGGACAGAGGCACGGGCGCGCTGCGGGCCGACCCTGGGCGGTTTTCCCTGGTGCCCCCAGGCCTCAGCCGTCAGGCCCCGGGACCGGCGTGCAGCACGGGGAGCCTACTGGGTGGCTGGGCTGTGTCTGCGGGTTCCTTTCCCAAATGGAGAAGGGCCCCGCGGTACACACGGTAACCCTCCCGGGGCATCTGCTCCTCCTTCCCCGGGGAGCAGTTATTAAATAAATCATCAGCACCAAGTGGAAAAGGGAGGAAGAAGCTGCGTGACTGGTTTTGGAGTTCAGACCCCACACGTAGCATTTCTGAACCTGAGGTCACCCTCCTGGGGCCGTGAGAAGCGACACCGCGTGGGAGTGTGGGAGGGAGGCTCCGCCGGCACGGGGTGTCGCAGGCCCAAGCGGGAAGGCGTTTTGCCAGGGGGGGCCTGAGACAGGCGGCGCCACGTGGGCTGTGGGGGAGCCGCCCATGCCCGCCGGTGGACGCGGGAGGTCGAGGCTGCCCCCCAACCCGCCTCTGACGAGGTCTGAGGACCCTCCTCCGACTGCTGCCCTGAACCACACTTCTGGACGTTTCAGGGACCCGGCTGACGGCAGCTCGTGACAGGTGTGAGCTTTTATCTTCTGGTTTGAGGTAGTTTCCAGAAAGGTCGGGTGCCCGAATCCAACGTCAGTGGAGGCGTTGTGCCCGCCCTGCTCTGCACACGGGACGCGGCCCGCTCGGGGCGCGCGTGGGCCCCCAGCCCCCCCGGGGACGGCCCCACTTACCCAGTCCACTATGAGGGTCTTGCTCACGTCCAGCCGCTGCTGGAGAAGCTTGGCTGCGATGGCCACAGAATTAAAGTAGCAGAAGCCCCTGCAGTGAGAGGAGAGAGGGGAAAACACGGTTCCCACCGGTCCTCACACGGAAGCGCCTGCAGCCCCGTGGGGTTCGGGGCGGAGAATGCACGGCTGCCTCGACCGACCGACGCCACCGACCCACAGACAGGCCCCCCACGGCCGCCGCCGTGCCCCGAGGCGAGACATCCGTTCCCGGAGCGCCCGGCAGCCGCACACTGCCCTGCCTCCCGGGGCCGTGCTCCCTGCGCACGAGGTCACCTGTGTGACCTGCTACTGCTCATCTGTCCACGCTCAGACGTGTGACAGTCATGCACACTCGCCCCCCAGAGTCTCCTTCAAGAGGCGCAGAAGCCCGCTAACAACGTGATTCACGTGTAACCAAAAGTCCTCTAACTGACGTCCCCTTTGCCTGAATTACCACAAAAACAGGGAAATCTGGGCGGCTTTGTGTCGGGAATGCGGGCGAGCAACCTGCAAGCCCCCCGACGGCGGGAGGCACGGGCTGGGGAGCCGGCACCCGGAGCGGCGAGCGCACACGCATCCAAACGCCCCCAACAGCCTCTGTGCTCCATCGTGGCCCGTTTGGGTTCACGCCCCAGGACGGCCAACGGCTTAGGTTCCAAGTGGAAAAGTGCCTTCAGGGGAAGGAACCACGCGGGATCCTGCTCCTGACAGCATGGAGGGTTGTGGGTCGTGGCGTCCCCGAGCCCGGCGGTTTCTGGGGAACGGGGCCACCGTCTAACGGAGGCTGCTGTCGGGAGCTTGCAGCCACTGCCCCCTCCCCGGGCACGACGTTCCTGTCTCAAGCCGCGGTCTGACGCCCTCACGCCGGGCTTTAGGGGACAGAGGGCTCCTGCTCGCCTGTGAGCCACAGCCCAGGCTCCCTCGGGAGCGCAGGCTCAGCCTGTGGTTCCCCGGCCTGGTCCTAGCTGCTCCTGCACAGGCTCCGCTGTCACCTCCCTGCACTTCCTGGCTTCCCAGCCGTGCTCCGTCCGCACGGTCCTTGGGACAGCCCAGATGTCACCTCTCCTACCTCTACCAGCAGCAGCAACGGCCCTTCCTGTCCCCAGAGCTCAGGACACCTGCTCTCCCACGGTGCCCGTCCTGCTGCCTGACTGGTTTCCCAGGTCCCACGAGAAGGCACGTCTAGAGGCACCGGGGTGGCTCAGAGGTTGAGCGCCTGCCTTTGGCCCAGGGCATGACCCCGAGGTCCTGGGATTGAGTCCTCCTGCCTCTGTCTCTGCCTCTCTCTCTGTGTCTCTCATAAATAAATACATAAAATTAAAAAAAAAAAAAACAGAGAAGGCACGTGCAACCCACCCCCAGGCACCCAGGCCCACAGTCATTCCCTGGCAATCTGCGAGCCACACTTGCTAGCTCGGCCAGCTCCTCGGATGTGTGCATGGTCAGGGGTACCCAAAGCCCCAAACGGGGTCCAGACGGCTGGTCCCTGGGGTCACAACCTTGAGATGTCGGCCTCATCCGTACCAAACCATAAGCAGGTCAGCTGAAGGGCCACATGTGAGGTGACCTGAGGCATTTGGTCAGAATGTTCTAGAACAGTGAAGTGCTCCGTGAACTCCGTCTGGTGCAATGTAAGTCCCCACCCAACTGCTTACAGCAGAGCGAGGGACGAGAACCTCTGGACTGACGTCTGCGGGTTCCTTTCCCTCGGCCCACGGTTCGATCCATCACCTGGCCGCAGCCCGTCTGCAAGGTCACCCGCGTGGCTCGGGGCTGCACCAGCTACCTGGGGCCGTGTCTGCGCTCGGGTGCAGCCCAGCCCTTCCAGAACAGGGATCAGAGAGCGCCACAGCCCGCCCGTCGCGGCCGCGTGTCTACTCACATGGGCGTGCTCTCCTCCGCGTGATGTCCTGGAGGGCGGACCACGGCAAAGCCGTTCTGCGCACGACGCCGGACAGGGGAGGGGGCGGAGAAACAGGGAGGAAGAGAGGAAGAGGGTTCACGTCAGTGAGAACGTGAGCACCGCCCGCACCGCCGGCGGGCTCCGGCTGCCCGCGAGGGCACAGACCCGCACATCTGGGTCACGGACACGGGACGGGCCCTAGGGCTGGCTGTCGGCACCTCAGCGACGCCTGGGGCCCTGCTTTGAAGAGGTCCTCTGGCGCTCACGGTTACTGGGTAAGACGCGAATTTGTCCCTGATGGTTTATCTTTGCTGGAGCTGCTTAGCTCAGGGACCTGGCAGGAGAGGACGGGCTCCCTGGGCCCCCTCTGCTCAACACCAGTGTCCCCAGGAAGCCACCTGACGGGTACCCTGGGTGCAGAGAGGTGCAAGAGGCTCACCCCAGGGGCTCCAGCCTGGGTCCGGCCTTAATGGAAGCATCTCAGCTCCCAGGGGTGGGGGGGGTGGGCATCGCAGAAATGAGCCACCCACTACTTGGAAGCAGCAGCCCCGCCCCTGAGTCACTTAGGCTTGGACGAGCCGTCTGTAAACCGCTCTGTAGCCTCAGAAACAAAAAAGGACTTAAATGGGCAGCTCGCGTCTGGCCTGCGGGAAGCTGTGGGGTCACGGCTGGGAACAGCGCCCCAGGGCTGGTGGGCCGGCAGTGATGACGGGGCTGGGGCGGCGGAGCTCAGCCTGCTGCAGGGACAGCTCCGGACGGACAGGGTGATGGGCACACTGATGGGGGCCCCTACCCCTGGCACTCTCGATGCCGCAGGACCAGCCTGTCCCCGCACAGCGGGCCCGGGAGGGCAGGCTGCGACCCCTGGGGTCCCCGTGCCCAGGGGGCCTGTTCTCCTAATCCTAACACTCGCTTCGCGTTTCTCGCTGTGCTGACAGCCGTACCACGGTGCAGGGCGGTGCGGTGCCTGCCCGTGCCGGGGAGAGGTCGGCAGTGCCAGGAAAAGGGCGCTCGGTGGGCGTCCCCGCCACACATGTGCAGCGGACAGGCTCCCAAGAACGTGTGACGATGCAGTAACATTTATGGCTCTCCCTAGATCCCTGGCCCTGAACGCGCGCCTCCTAACAGCTCGTGTGAGCAAAGGGGAGGGACGGGCAAGTGCACGTGGGGCCAGCCCACGGGCGGTGTGGTCAGGGGCAAGACTTGAGCCTTCGGGTGAGGACGAGAAGTTCGGCGGACGCGCACCCTGAGCTCCCCCCGCACTCGGAGGGCCTTCCTGGTGAGGTGCGCGCCGGTATTAACGGTCTCAAAAATCAGCGATGCCCTAGATAGCGCGTTCCAGACTCGGTGGAGATGCTGGAAGATCTACACGATTCAAGGAGCCCGAGTTCCCAAACGAGGAGCACCCTGTGTTGCAGAAGCCAGTTGTGGAGAGGCCCCGCTCAGCCTGCCACGCCAGCGGGCTTCCGTGAGAGAAGGAAGGGCTCCCTGCCGCGGATTCGGGGTCCACGCGGCCACTAACCTTCGAGAAGCCGCACGCGTGGGACTGCGGTGGAGCCTCAGAGCAGAATCCCCACAATTACCCGAGAAAGCTGCGCACACGCACGCCCTTTGCCCAGTTCTAGATCCGGTGTCAGGCCGGGTCCCTCTACGCGCTTCTACCAAAGGGTCGCCAGAGACGGAGGCAGCAGCGGGTCGGGGTCGGCGGCTCGTCTACTAAGACCTGGACGCCGCTATTACGTCCACGTTAACGAGTGTGTTTTTAAGAACCTGGGTCTGGTCTTCATCTCCAGCGTGGCCCGTGGGGAGGACACCCTCGCACACGAGAGCTCCTGGGCCGTCCAACCGTGGGGACAACCAACCCTGGGGGCCCCTGCACCACCGCGTGTGTTACCAGCGCCGGCGACGCTGCCGTGGATCAGCAGGGACTCTCCCCAGGCACCGTCCCCTGGTGCAGAGGGGCCCCAGGGCGCTGAGCCCCACCCGCGCCCCCAGGAGAGCCCCGTTTCTGCAGGGTCCCCACCGACCTTCAGCTCCCCGGTGGCCACCTTGAAGACCAGCTCCACCACGCAGCCCACGGCCAGGCGCGCCGCCCCCGACGAGTGCACCTCGTTCCATATGGTGTCGCTGTCCACCTGTGGAGACAGGGGCCCTGCGTGAGGCTGAGGCGATGTCTCGGGGGCGTCACCCCTGCGCCCCACACCTGCGGGGGCCGTGCGGGGGTCGGGGGGTCTGCGAGGCCTGTGGGCTCTGCCTCCGAAATCCCAGCCCGGAGCCCCTCGCCTCTTTTACTAATGATACGACACACACAACTCACATTCGGGCGTTTTTGTTTGTTTGTTTGTTTTTAAGATACGCCAACGATTTCTAAATAGGGAAAGAACCGTAGATGCAGCAGGGAGGAGGCGTGTGCGACGTCAGCCCCTCCCGAGGTGCCACTGCTTTCCTCCGCTGCTCGGATGTGCTCAGGCTCAGGGCGACCGTGTCACCGTCACCAGGCTCCTTGCTGGTTAGGTTTCACCGCGAGCCCAGGGGAGCGACAGTAACGGCCGCAGGATGAGGCCTAAGGGTGGGAATCAGAGGTCTCTCCACAGGACGACTTGCCTTTGTGCAGCGTGGGAGCGGGGAGCCCTCCCTCGGGGCCACGCACCGCTCTGCCCGGGTCTCTGTTCCACCTCAAACAGGAAAATGTGTGTGGCACGAACACGTTCGGGTAACTTCTGCTTGTGTGCTGGTTTATCTGGTTACGTAGGCACCTTAGATCTTTTTTTTTTTTTTTTTTTTTCCTATAGCTCTGGCCAATGTGGGCATTAGAGAAGACCAAGAAATTTCGGCAGCCAGCTCTGCAGGTCAGCTGGAACGGCATCGGAGGGACCAGATGGAGCACGCAGCCCCCGGTGCCAGGCCAGGGCATCTGGGCACCATCACGCTCACGCGCCCGCCCTGCCCTCGGTGGGGGTGCACGCAGCCTAGCGAAGGTTCTGAGGCGCTGGGCATCTGCAGCCCGGTCACCTGTAGCGCAGCGTCGGCCAAGCGTACGTGAGAGCCGCTGCTTCCCGTATCAACCTCCTCCGAGCGCTGAATGCTTTGGGAGTCCAGGGACGGAGGCCGGGCAGCGGCACGCGGAGGTGCCCACCCAGGCCCCTGCCCACCTGACGGAGACGCCGATCATTACGTGGGGCGGATGGATTTCCTGCAGTGAACTCTTGAAGCTTCATCTTCAAAGCAAGATGATTGAAAATACATTTACGAGGGGTTCAAGCCGTTTCCGGAGGAGTGTTGCTCTGTGAGGGCTGTTCTTTCCAATGACCAAACCTCTGTGTTCTTTAAATAGCTTCCAAATGTCCAGAGAGCGCTGTGCGCTTTGCCGACTCTCCGCGGCATTAATATTCAACGTTCAAAGGCCGGCTGCTGTTGTAAATAATACTGTGCTGCTCTTCGCGGAAGCGGCCGTTCAAACGGCACGGTCCTGGGCCGGCTCCTTCGCCGCAGAGCCCACTCCCGAAAATCGAAGGGGACAGTCCCCGAGCGAGAGTGGCGGACGGAGCCCGGCAGCTCCTGCGCCTTCCGCGAGGGTGAGGATGTCCGGGGCAGGTGCGCCAGAGGCCGCTCCCCTGAGGACCGCTCGGATTAGTTCTCCCTAGGAGGTGCGGATTTGGGTCTTGTGCCTGAACCAGGGCCGGGAGGGAGGATGGACGGCGCTCCGGACGCTTCGCCAGGTCTCTGTGTGGGCACAAGAGGCCCCGTGATGTCCTGCCCAGACTGAGGGACAGGGTGTGCGGCTGCCACTGTGCTCAGAGAGCCCAACGCAACCTCCCGCTGCTTCGGGGCCTGAGTCCTCCAGCGCCCCACGGGGACCAGACCAGCCTGGGATGGTTCCAGGATCCCCGGGCCCTGCCGAGGGGCAGGTGGTAGGACATTCACTGAGGCAGGAGTGGCAGCCACAGCAGACAGCAGAAGGCCTGCTCTGCTTTCTTACAGGAACGAGCCGAGGAAGACGTGGAGGACGCTTCCTGCAGGGATTCAAGGCTTGTGCTGGGGAAGGGGTGGCCAGTTGTGGGCACATCACGGCCCCGGGGAGCCATGCAGCTGGGGGCACAGCCCTAGGGCACCAAGGGCACTGAGGGCCAGCGAGGGGTGGAGGGGGATCCAGCCCACACCAGGTCCCCTCGAGGGGAAATGGGATCATCAGGAGGTGAGCAAAGCACAAGTCGCTTTGAACAAAGGTTACGGGGGCTCCAAGCCTCTCCTGAGCACAGTTAAGGAGACAGGAGCTGGCGCGTGACCTTAACACACCATCACACACCCTGAATGTTAAGTCGGACTTTCAGGAGAGGCGCAGCAGCCTCCTGCCTGCGTCATCGCCACAGCGCCCACGCTCCCACCCACACTCTGGCTCCTGAGGTCTCCTTTGCATTCCTGACCCCCGAGGGGTGGCCCCTGCACGGGTGACATGGAGCCCACAGGAGCAACGTGCGCCTCCGCCCTCCCGGGAGAGAGGTGATCCTGGCACAGCATCCAGAGAGAACCACCCCGGAACCCGCCACGGCTCACGCTCCCTCTCGCCCCCACTTCGACCTGGTGGGATTTTGCACGGCTCCCCGCTCTGGAGGCCTGCGTGCCTGGACGTGAAGGTGGGTGCTGGCCAGCCTGCGGGGGCTCGGATCTGGACGCACACTCGGGTGGGGCGGGGGGGGGGGGCTGCCTGGCTCCAGGCCCCGGGCCCGACTGCAGCTTTCATTTGCAAATCTTAAATCCTGCCTCGCACAGCACGCTGGCTGCAGGGCAGCCCAATCCAAGCCTTTTCAAGTCTGGCCAAAAATTTGCCCCGAATTAAGAGATTGCAGCCTACTTACAATACAAAATAAAATAACTCTAGGGGGCTTGGTGGTGGTATGAGTAAATGCCGTTTATTCTCTTTCTGATGGGATAATTTTCAAAGCAGCGAGTTTTGTAAAGACTCAGGAAGAAAACAATTTTGTTTCATTTCCATAACAGAATCCAGACCTCGAGCTTCACCCTGCGATCTGTAATTAGGCACACACTCTGCCGCCGCGCAGCTCCGGGCCGGGCGGCTTTGTGGTCCACGTGTCTGTCCGGCCTCGCTAGCGCCGGGGCCTGGAACCCCGAGGCCGCAGGTCCCCGGGACGACGCAGGGACTTGCCTTCGGGGCCCGGGGCCTGCTCTCGCCGCACCCCGCCCCCATCCCAGGCGACAGGAGCCGGGGAGCTCGGGCTGCGGACACCTGACGGTGGCCGGCCAGACCGCGGGGTCCTTCCCGGCTCAGCATCCCCCCAGGGGCCGGGTGGGCCGCCTCTCCTCGTGTCTACCGGGCGCTGTTGCTCCTGGAAGAGCAGCGAACCCCCCCCCCCCCACCCCGGGCTGGCGGCTTTGCACGCTGCACGTGGCCGGTGAACACCGCGCTCCCCGTCCTCGGCCTCACCTGGGGGTTCGGGCCGGCAGAGGGCACTTGCTCTACCGCGTGACGGAGGCACAGCCCGAGTGGAGCGGGCTCTTCCCCGCAGGTGAGGAGGGGCCAGCGACCCGCACACCAGAGGGTTCCCCGAGGCGGGCGCCCGACAGCCCTCCTGGAGGAGGCGGCCCCAGCCTGGCCCCTGGGCCTCTGAACCACACGTGCTGCGCGGGCAGCCCCGCCCGTCGGGCCCCGTTTATGGAAAACACCTGGCAGCAATTATCCCCTCGGCGGAAAACAGGGCAGCGATGTCTGCGGCCACCGGGACCGAGAACAAACAGGACATTATTTACACATTAAAGCAGTACTTACCCCGACACCACCGCAGGGCAGCCTGACAAACACCGACGTTAGCGAGCCTGCGGGGAGAAGGACAGCGGAGGTCAGGGGGCAAGGTCACGGGCGCCCCGCCTGCACGGAGCCCAGGACGGGGGCCTGGGCACAGGGTGCGAGCGGTGCCCGGCACTCGGGGGACACACACCATATCCATGCACCAAGGAGCAAAGTGGTTCCACAACGGGTCACCGTGTGGCCCAGGCTGCGTGGGGACAGCTCCCGTGGAGTGATGCGGACGTCTGCAGGAGCAGCCAGTGCTCTGGGGTGTGGGGGGCACCCGGGAGGGGGGCTCCTTCCAGCCTGAGCTCACGGGCATCACACACGACCACAACCACAGGGGCTGTGTCCTGAGCTAATCTCGCTGTTGACAGCCCGACCCGCTTCTCAGTGAGCTTCCCTGCGGCCCTCAGGCTCCCAGGTTCTGGGGCTCTGGCCGCCCTCCCCCGTGGGAAACGGCGATAGGCCCCGAATTCAACACCTGCGGTGCGCCCTTTAGACGCGGAGGGATCTCGTGGGGACGTGAACAGCGACAGCCCCCTCCCCATTTATAGATGGCCCCGGTCCAGGTGGACGGCCCGCAGCTAAGAAACCCTGTGGGAGCTGGCCTTCGAAGGCCTTCCCCGGCCCGACACGGGCGAGCGCCCTCCCCCACGGGCTCAGGACCCCGTGACAAAGCAGCGACTGTCCTCTTCCTCAGTGTGACCCAGGGCTGGCTGGCCACCAGCATAAGACTCATGTGTTCCAAGGGAGAGGCACCCCTCCAGGTGTAAGGCCTCGGATCCACGTGGTGCCATCCCTGCAGGAGCTGACCCGGCTCCACGGGTGCCGTCCCTCCAGGAGCTGACCCCAGGACAGCCTCTGTCTGCTGCCCGTCCCCCCTTACACCCAGGCCCCCGGCCCCCCTGCCCTTCTCAGCAGGTTCCAGCTTCAGACTCCACCCTCCAGGCCTGGCCGAGCTGTGCCCACGGAGGGTAGGCCCACTCCCGACACCTCCCGCCCGACTCAGAACAGCAGCTCCTGCGCGATGCTCAGGGATCACATGACTGGCACCACGGACGAGAACAGGGGTCAGGTCAGGGACCCGGCCTGTGCCCACCTCACCCTGACTCCCAGTGTGGACCACACCGGGCACCCAGCCACCCAGGGCCTTTCAGGCCCCAGGCTCTGGCCGCCCGCACCCTCCTGTTGCTCCCGGGATGCTCACGCTCACCTCGGGCCACGGCGCCCACCAGGGTCAGCCCTCCCCCGCTGCCCCTGTAAGGCCTGGATGCAGGTCCCGCCCCAGACCTGCTTCTCCCTGTGCCCCCACCAAGACCCCCAGTGCCATGTCTCGCTCAGGGCCACTGCCTGGATCCGCGGCCCTGCTGCCTTGTCGCCTTCCCGACGGGCCCCGTGAGGTGGGGGCCGGTCTGCCCTCCCCGTGCTCACTGCTAGCCCACGGCCGGCAACAGGCAGACCTGTGAGTGGGTGGGGGCCGGGCCTGCCAGGAGGAGGCGGGATGCCCGGGAGGGTGGCTCCCGAGGGCTTGCTCGGCCTGAACCGTGACCCTCTGCAGGGCCACCAGGTGAGGGGGGGAGCCGGCCGGGGCAGGAGAGGCGGAGACGCAAGCCCGTTGCGGGCCTGCTTTGCCGCGTGTCCCCCCGCCTAACGGCCCAGGCCATGGAGCGGATCCCGGCGGGGGCAGTGGCGGCCCAGCCTTCAAGATGCCCGTGGCCCTGGGCGGCCCCTGGGGCTGGAGCGGCCTCGCGACGGCTTCTCCCACCACGGCCGCTTCCAAGCAGGAACGTGGTGCTGGGCCGTGGAAGGGCTTTCTCCCAGGTAACTCACGGGCCTGTGCGTGTGACTGTTCACACGTGTGTGCCCGGGGCCTCTAGACACCGGATTTCTGTTTTTGAAACAAGAGTCAATCCTGTCTATGCCGAAAACACAACTCCCCGACGTGTTCTGACTCGGCTCATTATCCAGCCATCCGAGATCGAGATGGCTCGCGAGCGTCCCGGGTGGGCGGTGAGGCTCTGCGCAGGGAGGCTCTTCTAGAAGCTGTTGCTCAGGCGCACGGCCACTCGGTGCAGCTCATTCCGCCCGGACCGAGCCTCTGCTCGCCCGTGGCCCCCTCTGGCCGCTGTGGTTTGGGGCCGCCATCCCCTAGGCGAGGCCACAGCCGTCCAGGCGGAGGTGGCGGCTGGTGGAGGGCCCCATTTTCCCGTCACGGCGGCTGTGGAGAGAGGCCCTGGGAGGCCCGCGGGCGTGGGGCAGGCCTGGCGTTCCTCCGGCGCGACCGCCGCTCCTCTCTCGGCCCTTCCCGAGCCCTGCCAGGCTCCCCTTCCAGCTGCCGCCCTCGGGAGGCACTGGGACCTCGGGGAACGTCGAGGGCTGCGGCGCACACCTCCAGCGTCCGCGGCCCCGTCTGCAGGGCGCTGCTACCTCGGTGACCACACGGGGCTTCCCGCACACGCCTTAGGAATTGGGGGATTCCATACACAGAGGGCGGGAGCTCACACCGTAGTGCTCAGGTGCCCAGTCAGGGTTACGTGAGCGACGCCTGAGGTCACCGCAACTTGACTACGTCTGGACCAGTCTGACTGTCGTCGGGACTCCTGGCTCGGACAATTATCGCAAGTTTAAAAACCGGTCTCAAGGGGAGAGAGGGTAACCGGGTAGGTGTCCTCGTAGCCATGAGAATGGGTCTTAAAACAGTGTTTAGCAGAAAACAAGAAGGAAACAGGACGACTTAGGCTATCACCGCTGCACGCTACACGCACTCCCGACGTGCGCCTGGCAACACAAAAGTGAACACGAAATAGTCAGAGGACTGCATCAGGGCGCGTCCGGGCGGGGGAGAGGCAGGTGTGAGGACAGCGAGGCACATTTCAGCAGAGGCCGGAGAGCACAGGGGGCCTGGGGGCACCGGTGATGAGGGCCCGACCCGAGGGGGGGCAGCCCCACCGGTGACCGGGGCCCAGGAGCAGCCGAGGAAGGGTCCGTGCGGGGAAGGCTCCAGGCCCTGCTGGCGACGCCCGCCCCTCTTTCGCCCAAAGGCCCCACATGTGCCTCGTCCCTCCCTTCTTGTCATCTGTCCCCCGACTCTGAAACCAGCTCAGGGACCTAGTGCAGCCGCCTGCTGGTGCGCTCCAGCCCTCTACCCCGGCTCGGGCGCAGATCACCCTCTCCCTGTCCATCGTCTCCAGTTCAGGGCACGCAGGTGCCAAAGGCCTGGTGGTGATGGCCGTGGGGCGGCCACGGATGCCGCACAGCCTGCTGGAGCACAGCCCACGCCGGAGCCTCTGTGACGGCCGGTGCTGCTGACTGAGGCCGTCTGGCCAGCTCCCGGTGACCCCTGAGGCCAGGGGGTTGCGGCTTCTGGACCTTGGCAGCCCTGACGACACATGGGGCCCGCAGGTTCTGCTCCCGCGCTGGAGGACAGCACTCAGGCCGCCGAGGTGCCACCCTGGGAGGAGCGGTGTTTCCCGGGGATCCCGCAGGACCCTGGGGACCGGGCCGACCTGCCCATCACACCTGCTGGCCTACACGCGGCCTCCTGCTCAGCTCCTCCCGCTGTCCGCGTCCTCGGAGGTTCCTTTCTGAACCTCTGGCTGGCCCCAGCCGAGGCCCTGCCCTCTGGGCGCAGCTGGCACCCATCTCGTTCCTGGACATTTGCTGCTGGGTTCCCATGGCCCCGTCCTGGGAGCTGGCGGCTCAGATCTCCCGCCCTCTGCACACGTCCTGCTCCGTGACCACCAGGGTGAGGCCTTTGGGTGTCCCCCTGACGCCCTTACAGCTGCCTTTCAGGGGACATTCCGCAGTCCACACCGTAAACACCCCGTGACTCGAGGGACAGAGTGCACCAGCACGCGCTTCTCCATGGGGAGCTGGGACGGGTCCCCTGCCCCGGGCCCGCGGTCCCCATGCTTCTCCCTATGGTTTCACCCCCGACATTCCCCCTACAAGGGCTGGGCTTTGAAAAACCCAGGAGCAAGAACAAATCTTGCCGTGTAAGCAGAGGACAGAAGAGCCTCGGTGAGGTGATGGGTCCCATGACGGGCAGGCTGGAGAGGGTCTCCGGGTCACACCCTGGACGGGCTACGGACCAGACCCACATGTGGCCGGTGGGGGGGGGGGTGGCTCTGGAGTCCTTCTGAGCCCACTAGGTCGCAGCCCCACGTCCGGGGATGGATATCTTGGGTGGCAGAAACGAGCCCCCCACCAGTGCAGGCGGCAGGGCCTGGACGGGGTAAGAGGAAGCCCCAGGGGACCCTGGCCCCGGCCCATTGGTGGGTTCTCGGCCACACTGCTCCAGGCTGTTCTGGATGCTTCTATGTGGGGAACACGGCCAGCTCCTGGGCCCGCCCCTCCACCCCAAGGGGCAGGCTGGGCAAGACTCATGCGTGACATCCAGACACCTGGTGTGACGGTGTAACTAGGTGGGCTCGGAGGCAGTCAGGTCATGGGGGTGGCACCCTCGTGATGGGTCAGCGCCTTACAAAGGTGACCCCACCAGGCTCCCTGCCCTCGGCCCCCAGGGAGGACACAGCGGGGCCTGTAGTCTGAAGAGCCGTTGCCCGCTGTGTGGCCCCAGACCCCAGCCCTCCGGCCTTCCAGGACTGTGAGCCGTGGACGGTCACTGCAGCCGGAACAGACGGGGCAGGCCTGGCTCTCCTGCCCGTGGCCCAGCGTCCACCCCGACGGCCTGGAGGGGGATGTGTGCAGGTGCCTCTGCTCCTGCTCCTGGTCACCCTTGCTGGCCGGGTCAAGGCCTCGGGCTGGGACAAGTCTGTGCCCAGAACTGGCGAGGCGGCACTGTCGTCATGGGGCGTTGGCCCCCGAGTGTGGCACCTCCCCCGCCCCGTTCCATGACTGTCCCTGCTGCTCCCCAGAGGGTCTGGGCAGCCACGGCGCCCGTGGTTCCGGGGCTGGCTCACGATTGCTCCAAGACGCCCTCCTGCTCCCCTCTTGCGAGCCCCCGGAGCCCCCGCAGCCAGCCCGCTCCCTGGAGCCCTTACTCTTCCTCCGCGACTGTCTGGTGTGACTTTCGTCTCCAGCGTTCCGGGCTCTTCCTTCCTTGCTGCTCTGGTCCACACGACACGGACGTGCTACGTCCTCTTTAAGGGCACTGAGGGCACTCTGGTTTTCCTTCGTGTCCCCACCTCTCCCAGAAGCCTGTCCCCCGAGCTGCCCTGTTTCACACTCAATCTCCCCGTGAAGTGCTCGCTTCCCAGGTGCAGGTAATCCTGGGTCACCTGTTCTCAGACGGAGGCCCTAAGGGCACGGGGAGATCCCGCACACGGTGGGCTATGAACTGTGGGCTCCCTGCCTGGTGTCCTCGTGTCGGCTTCCTTGGGGCTGGTCACCTCACAGGAGGGGTCTCACGTCTGCACGGGGCAGGGTCAGCACGCAGGGAGGCGGGAGGCAGGCAGGCGCCGCGCCCGTTCTGCTCCCGACGTTCATCCCAGCCAGGGAGCCCTGTGCCCTCTGCAGGCCCGGGGGTTGGCGGGCGTCTTGGGCCTCGGGCCCAGCCCCTGTTCTGACCACTCCACACCGTCCGCCCCAGGCCCAGGGTCTCCGTGGTGGCCGACCCCACAGTCAGTGGTCTCTGTCCCCAGCGCTGGAGGACACTTCCTGGCACCTGCCGCACCCCTGCTCTCCGGCCTCCAGGCTCTCCTGCCGCGGGGCCCTCTCCCATCTCCCACAGCCAGTTTTCACGTCTTCTGAAAGCCTGGTTACCACAGGGCGGGGGCGGGGGGCTCAGGAAGCAGCAAGGCTGCCACCCCGGGCGGGACACATGGGTTTCCTCCCAGCTGTCTGCTCCCTGCTCTCCAGACAAAGGCCACATCAACCCCGTCCGGTGGCCGGTGCCTCCAGGATTTCCCGCACAGAAGATGCGCTCCTTCGGGGTGAGGGCGTGAGCGCGTGGAGGAGCGAGTGCACACACACGTGGACGAACGGGGCGCCCTGCAGTGCGATCCGCCCAGGACGGCACGAGCACCACCTCTGGTGACACCGGAGAAGCCACCTGCCGTGTCTGTGCCAGTGGCCGGGAGGCTGGGGTGAGAAGTGCCCTGGGAGGGCCGCAAGCAGGGTGGGGCTGGTGCCCGGAGCCCCCCCACCTCGGCTGCAGATGCCCGAGTGTCCGCCAGCGCAGAGGCCCAGACCCTGCCCAGGCTGCCCCCCCGCCCCCGACAGCAGGCTCAGGGCAGGTGCATGAGTACCCCCACCCACTGGCCTCTGGTATGGATGCCATTCTAGAACATTCCGCAAATCCAGTGGTTGTCACACTTTCTACACCACGTGCCCGACACAGACATGGAGCCAGCCGCCCCCCCAGCCCCCAGCTCGGTACCTGGTGCAGGCGCCGCGCACAGGGCTGTCCCTGCCGCCACCGCTGCTGCCACCACCGCAGGGCCGGGGCCAAGGGGCGGGACCAGCGGGCGCAGGGCGGTAAAGGTAAAGAAGGCCTTGAAATACCTAGAAGTTTCTTACTGTCCAGTTTCTGCCTGTTGAGGGGGTTTGTGCCGTAGAGCAGGGTGTGCGCCTCCGAATGCACGGTCTGCAGCTCCTCCAGCGTGGCCTTCCGTCCGCGGATGCACTGTGGGGACAGAGGAAGAGGGGGTCACGTCTCCCCGGGCCGGAGGGCCGGCCTGCCCCAGAAATCATTCCTAGCACAGCAGCCCCCCAAAGGAAACCGATGAATTTTGTATCTACACGGGCACAAAATTATCTGGTTCCTGCAAAACAGAAAGTAAACAGCACCCAACGCGTTCAGAAATATTTAAAAAATGTTTTGGAGGGTTCACGCTTTAATGATAACTTTGAAGAACAGATTTAGACAGAAAATTCCAGCCTTCAACGCTTTAACCTTCCGTCACCCAAATGATTTGGCATCAAATTGCTACTTTGCCTTCCAGCTGCCGGGGTCTGTGCTTCGGTGGGGGCTGCACCCGGTGGGAGCCGTGCAGGGCGGCCCCCCGCGCACACCCAGCCCCGCAGGCCGCCGAGCCCCCCGCATCAGCCCCTCGCGGGGATCCGCGCTGGGCCTGAAGTCAGCTGCTCCAGCTCCGCGTCCGCGTCCGCCCAGTTTCCTTTGCTCTGGAGACTCCTCCCGTGGAAGCGGCAGGTTCTTTTCGCATTTCCCCAGGAACTAACATGAGGTCCATCCTTTAGCTGGGCTCTGCTTATTTAACCTCTAAAGGGGAAGGTGCTTTACGGAGCGAGGGGAAAGCCAGTGTCTCATGCCACCGTGGCCCTGAGGGCCGCAGCCCCACGCCGGGCGTCTACGGACCCTGGAGGCCGTGGTGCTGGTGGCCCAGGGGCTGCTCTCGCCCCCGCCACCTGGGCCACAACGGCTCACGGTGACAGCTTCCCAAGGACGCCCGAGGTCAGCGCCCCTGCACCTCGAGGACACCCGGCTCTGCGCTCCTGACGTCACCACGTGGAAGCTGCGTGCTTCACCCAGGCCTCTTCCCAACTGTCCTGCCAACTCAGGTCTGACCCCACGACCAGCAGACCCCTCGCCTCCTTGGATCTCCTGGGTCCTCTGGCTCAGGAGTGGTGGCACTTCCTGCTTCAGGGCCAAAGTGGGGCAGAGGGACTGGGGGTCCCACTCTCCCCAGGTGTTCAGAGAGGTCCAGGATCTCACTCCCCAGAGGGGTCGGGGGGGTCCCACTCTCCCAGATGTTCAGAGGGGTCGGGGGGATCTTACTCCCCAGGTGTTCAGAGGGGTCGGGGGGATCTTACTCCCCAGGTGTTCAGAGGGGTCGGGGGGATCTCACTCTCCCAGGTGTTCAGAGGGGTCGGGGGGATCTCACTCTCCAGGTGTTCAGAGGGGTCGGGGGGATCTTACTCCCCAGGTGTTCAGAGGGGTCGAGGGGATCTCACTCTCCCAGGTGTTCAGAGGGGTCAGGGGGATCTTACTCCCCAGGTGTTCAGAGGGGTCGGGGGGGTCTCACTCCCCAGGTGTTCAGAGGGGTCGGGGGTCTCACTCCCCAGGTGTTCAGAGGGTCAGGGGTCTCACTCCCCAGGTGTTCAGAGGGGTTGGGGGTCCCATTCCCCAGGTGTTCAGAGGGGTCGGGGGGATCTCACTCCCCAGGTGTTCAGAGGGGTCGGGGGTCTCACTCCCAGGTGTTCAGAGGGGTCGGGGGGTCTCACTCCCCAGGTGTTCAGAGGGGTCGGGGGGGTCTCACTCCCCAGGTGTTCAGAGGGGTCTGGTGGGGGGTCTCACTCCCCAGGTGTTCAGAGGGGGTTTCAGGTGTGGGGTCCTCATTCCCCAGGTGTTCAGAGGGGTCGGGGGGATCTCACTCCCCAGGTGTTCAGAGGGGGGGTCGGGGGGGGGTCTCACTCCCCAGGTGTTCAGAGGGCCCGGGGTCACTCCCAGGTGTGCCCGGTCACTCCCCAGGTGTCTGCTCCACTGTCTCGATCCTAAGGTCATTATCCGGCCTCCTGAGAAGCTCCCTGAGAGGCCCCTGGACTGAGGAGAGGCCTCAGGAAAGTAGAGCCTGTCACGGGGCGAGGTCCCGGGGGGGGGGGGGGAGGCAGGAGGGCGGGGAGACCTCCTCCTTGGGGTGTCCGCCAGGGCAATGCTGCCCCCCAGTGGTGCAGCCTCAGGTCAGGCCCCCAAACAGGCCTTGTCCTGCACTCCTCCTCCACAGGGGGGGGGGGGTGTCCTGTCCTCCAGGAGGGCCCCGGGGGCAGGAGGCAGGACCAGCTTCGGTGCCCCGCCCCTTCGAAATCACCCGTCACTGTACAACCAGTGAAGGGGCTCGCCTGAACCAAGTGACCTAAATTCCCAAACATCCCACTTCTGGAGCAGGTGGACGCACGGGGGGCTCTGCGGCCCCCACCGCCCCGGATGTGCCTGCGCAGGGCCTGGCGAGGTGGGCCCGGGGCTGGGACAGGCGGGAATGAGCAGTCCTCACCTGCGGGGCGCTGGCTTTCCCAGGTCACCCCACACCCATCCCCGCCCCCGTGGTGGCCCAGTTTGCCTGTGGGGCAGGTGGGGCTGCCGTCGCGCCCCCCCCCCCCACAGAGCCCAGAGCGCAAGGGTCCTTGTGGTGGCCGCACACCCGGGCAAAGGGCAGTCGGGCTGCTCCGGGGAAACGCGGCCCCCGCCCGCAAGGACACAGGAAGCTCAGGAGGTGCCTCAGTGGGACCTCCCGTCCCTGGGGCCGGGGCTCTGCTGCAGCCGAGAGTGAGTTCCAGGCCCCGGGACAGGGGCAGCAGGGGCAGGGGGCAGGGGCTCGGCCCTCGTCTGAGAACAACGGGGCACCAGCACCCCCGGGCAGCAGGGAGATGGCCGGCCGGCCAGAACCTTCTCACTGGACGGGCGGGTGCAGGGTGCGGGCCGAGCCCAACCGGACTCTGCGTCCCACGGTCCCTGCTGCCGCCCTGCAGCAACGCCACTCCTGGGGGAGCCCTCCAAGCCCCAAGGCCCCCTGCACCCTCCAAGCAGCTTTTGGAAATACTCAAGTAAGAGAACTTTTAACAAAAAGCCAACAGGGCAGATTTCCTTCGTGGCCTCCAGAAGGTGCCCTGGGGACTGAGGCCGGAGGACGGGCTGGCCGCGCGGCCCTGGTGCCAACGGGCAGCATGGCCTAGAGGGGCTTCTCCAGGGACTCGACCAGAAGGAAAACAAGCAGCCGTGGAGTTCAGCAAGTGGTGGGCGAGGGTGGGGACAGCACGTAATGGGGGGACCAGGGGGACAGGACGGGGGCAGGAGGATGGGGGACAGGATGGGAGGGGGGTAGGACAGGGGAGCAGGATGGGGGCAGAAGGACAGGAGGATGGAGGATGGGGGACAAGACGGAGTGGGGCAGGAAGACAGGGGGGCAGAAGGATGGGGGGCAGGATGGGGGACAGGATGGAGGGGAGCAGGAGGACGCAGGGACAGGACAGAGGTGAGCTTCCCCGAAGGGAGGACCTGGGTGTAGGGAAAGCAGCCCCCTGGGCGGATGCCCCTGGTGGAACTGCTCACAGCCCCCCGCCCCCGGCCTGGGCCCCGCTTACCTCACACTTGCCCCGGAGCCCCGTCTCCTGCAGCCGAGACCAGATGCTCTGGATCCTGCCGGCGTGCTCGGGGTGGCTGTTGGTGTTCCCGCAGGTACACTGGTGCTTCAGCATCAGGGTGTCGTACACGAGGCCTGGACAACGGGGGGGCCCAGCCACGGTCAGGGGGCTGTCGGGGGTCCCCGGCAGCTGCCCACCACCCACCCGGGACGCTGCCTGGCTGGGGCCCACCACTGCGTCCTGGCAGGGGACAGTGGCCAACGGCGTCCCGTCCACCAGGACGATGTGTCAGACAGATCCACGTTCCCCAGAGGCCAAGGGCGGCGAAGAGATGGAGGCCGAGGCAGGCGTCCTGCTCACGGCAGGTGCCGGGGGTCCCTGGCCGGGGGAGCAAGGCAAGGAGAACGACCCGGGAAGCCACCGCCCCCACTCCCCAAGCTGTGTGGCCCCCACGTGGCAGGGCTGTGCTGTCTTCCCAAATTAAGAGCTTTAGCCCCAAATCCAAGTCCATCCTGTCAGGGAGCGGAACCCACGAAGCAGCGCTGCTGCTGATCTGAGTCCCCTGTGAGGTTCTGGGGTCACAACCAAGAGAGACCCTGGAACCTTAGAAACTTCCAGGGCAGTCGGGACACCTGCGTGACACACGCACGAACAGGCCAACACCAGGGTGTTCAAAGGGACGTAACCGAGTCCAGAACCTGTGCTAAGTCCCCGTCTGCAGCGGGCCTGGCGGGGGGGGATCGGGACCAGGGACCCGAGGCAACGGGGCTGCCCCCAGAGAGGGTCACCCAGCCCGGGCTCTGCGGCAGGGGGAACGGGGAGGCTCCTGCAGGGGTGAGGCAGCGAGGACAGCCCCACCCCGAAGGCGAGAGCCTGGGCCGGCCTCACACCCTGGGGCCTGAGACCCTCGAGCCCCCCGGGCCGTGTGGGCCCCACACGAAGGGCCGATGAGGAAGGACGAGCTCACTGTCCCTGCGGCCCACGGACAGGCAGCGGCCCAGCCCGCCGGCTTGTCTCCGGAGGGAACATTCTCCGGCAAAGGCAAGGTGGGCTCTGGGCCAAGGGAGACGGCGGCATCAAGAAGCGGGAGGTGGGAAGGGGGCCTCAGTGACCGACGCATCTGGTCCCCTGGCCGGGCCCAGGCCAGGTGTGGGCCACAGGTGCTCAGCGCCGGACCCCCAGCCCCCCAGCCCCTGGGCATACCTGTGGTGAACCCTGTTTGGGGGCTGCACCCCACCCCCAGCCCCCCAGCCCCTGCGCATACCTGTGGTGAACCTCGGTTTGGTGGGCGGCTCCTGCACGGACATGGGGAAGGTGGCAGACGCCGGGGAGGACTGCGCCCGCGACAGAGGCCGGTGGCCGCCAAAGGACACGGGGATGCCAGCGGCCTCCATGGACGCCTGGTAGTTTCTCAGCTGGTGGATCCGCTGCTGTTCCAGAAGGAGGGCTTGCTGGGGAGGGGAGACGCGGGGTTTGGGTGCTGCCAGGAAACCGCGGCTCGCGTCCAGCAACCCACGTGCCTGACCGTTGGCTCTCGCGGGCGCGCAGCCCCGGGCTCGGCAGCCCACGGAGCCCCCGCCTGCAGGCACCCCCGGCCGGCCCCGCCCAGGAGGAGCTGCTCCACGTGCCAGACACGTGCGTGGGAGCACATCCCGGAGTGGGAACTCGGACTCCACGGCTGGGTCCCCGCCTCTCCCCCCACGCCCCCACCCGAGGGCAGCAAGACGCTGGCTGAGTGAGCAACACACGTCTGGTCGGGTTCCAGCCACCCGGGGTCGGCCGGCCGCGCCTCTCTGAGGGGGACCCAGATGGACGGTCCCCAGGACCTCCGCCACCTCAACAGAAATCAGCAGAGCAAAAAAGGATGCAACTTCGCGAAAAACTCCTTTTCACAGAACGTGTGTTTCTATGACAAGAGTTGGTTTTGGTAAGAGCGCGACACCGCCAGGACCCCAAACAGGCAGTTTAGCAACTAAGGGAGCTCCGGCGCGTCCGGGCGGGGACAGCCGCTGCCCCACGCAGGCCTGCGCGCCCTCTGACCAGCACCGGGCCACGAGCCAGGCCGAGGCTTCAGGGACGGATCTCACATGCGGGGCCCTGCAGGGAAGCAGGTGCGCAGCGGCCGTGCGGCCCCCGAGGGACATGGGGCCTCCCTGCCCACCCGCCCGACTTCCCTGCCTCAACGGTGCAGCGGGAAGGGGCAGGGAGGGAGAGAACCCGACAGGTGCCCGAGCCCCCACGGGCCTGGATCCAGGCGCCTGGAGCCCCGAGAGTCCGGTCCCCGACGCCGGTCACGGAACGCTGGAGGCCTCGACTGGCGCCAGCTGCCACACGAGCCACCAGGGGCCCCGAGGCCGCTCTGCTCACTAGTATTCCTGGATGCAGAGAACAAGCGTCCCTAACGAACGTCCTGGGTCTGAGCAGGGTAAGGATCGTTTTCTAAATAAAGGCCGAGCGCTCCATCACCCGCGAGACCCCAGCCCTGAACGCTGCGGGGAGCACGCTCCGCTCCCCCGCAGGCTTCCCGGTCGCGCTCCGCTGCCGAGGCCGTGGCCCCACAGCGGTCCGGGACGGCCAGGCCCGCCGGGGCGCGATGTGCACCCAGCAACGGCAGCGCTTCCCCCGACACGAGCTCCCGCGCTCCGGTCCTCGGGGGAGCAGAGGCGGGCGCCCGGCGGGCCGGACCGCGGCCCACACGTCAGAGCCGGAGCGGCTCGGGCGAGGAACAGGAGTCGGCAAGCACCGGCCGCCCGCAGCACCCCGCCCCCGGCCTGCCGTCAGGAGCAAGCAGCCTCCCTGCGGCCTCCAACACGGGGCCTCCGACTCCCGGGCTGGCCGTGCTGGTGTCTCGCGGACACGGCGGTTTTCCTTTTCATTATAAATTGATAAGTCATCAGATTTATTCACGCGTCACCTGTGAGTTTGGTTAACACGTGTCAGTGTCTGGGACTGGGTCCGCGTGTCACGGTTCTTCCGGCTCTTTTATGACATCGGTCACCACGGCCTCTGGGGCCGTAAAGGCCCTGCCTGCCTTCCTGATCAACGAAGACATCGACGTGCCTCCTCCTACCCTTCACGCCGCCGCCCAGTCCTACTGACACTGGGTAGCGCCTGCATTTACGTCAGCTCACGGCGCGCACGCCTGAGACCGTTATCTGTAGGGACTCGGGCGGGCGGGCGGGCGGGCGTCCGGCTGGAATACGGGCGCACAGATGCCCACGGCGGGCGAGGGCCAGGACTAGACGTCACAGCCCACCCGGGTCCAGGCCGGACAGGAAGGGAAGAGGCCGCTCGGAGCCCATGCCTGCCAGCCCCAGGACGCTGCCCCTGGGGGCCCGTGGGACCAAGGCCCGGCCTCCTGGCCTCTCCCCCGGCCGCCCCGGGCAGCCCAGTCACCTGTCTGAAGAGCAGCTCCTGCTCCGTGGGCTGGCGCTGGCCCGGCTCCACCTCCCGCGGGGGCTCCGCCTCCTCGTCGTCGCTCTCGATGGGCTCCTGCTTCACCTGCACCCCGGCCAGGGCGTGCGCCTCCTTCTGCCCCGACAGCCGGTCCAGGTAGGGCTCCTCCAGGAGGGCCTGGTGCTCGCGAAGCTCCTCCTCCGTCTCCTCGGGGTGGCTCTCGGGCTGCCGGGCTGGCTCGTTCTGCTTGGGGATAATCTACAAGGCAGAGGTGAGGGGTGAGGGTGACGGACACGACGGGACAGAGAAGGGGCGTCACGAGCTGCACAGCTCCGAGCAAGGGCGCAGTACCCCGAGGGATGCTGGATATCCCGAGCTAAGGCCTGCGGGCGCCGTTCACGAGCCCACAACCTGGGCACAGGGCACCATCTGCCCAGGACGGCGATGGACCGGCGTGGGGAGCGCATCTGTTGGGCACCGTGTGCCCAGCGCATGGAGGTCACAGGTGTGGAGCTGGGGCTGCACCTGGGGAGTGGCCTGTGGCTTTGAGCAAATGCGACCCTCTCCAGAGCCCGGACGTGGGTCTCCGTGGAGGAGCCGCAGGGCCATGGAGAATGGTCTCCCGCCACATTCTGCGTAGCGCCCGGTGGCGCCCTCTCCTTCCTCTTGTGCATCGGCCCGGGCTGGGAGTGCAGGTCCCCCCGGAGGCCTGACCCTCAGCGGGCGCCACGGGATGGCGAGAGCCCAGGGGCAGGGGGGCAGGGCTGGCGGAACAGGGACCTGCCAGGCTCCCTCTCTGGCCTTCCCAGCCGCCTGGGAGGAGGGCGTCTGCCTAGAGGCCTCCAGGCCCCTCTAGGGACTCAGGACACTCGGGGCTTCCACGAGGGCGGCCGGTCAGGAAGGATTCCTGGCCCTGCTGTCCTGGGAGCTCTGGGCAGGGGCAGGGGCACCTGAGCTGCCACCATCTCCCTGGAGCTCAGCCTCCAGGCCGCGGTACAGAGGGAGTCGGGGCGGCCGTGGCCACAGCAGCGGCCTCCCCGTGATGCAGGGCGCACAGCTGCGGGGCTGTGGCTCAGTGGTGACCAGACGCCCGTGGGCTCAGGCTATTGGGCCGTGCAGAGGCCTGTCGCTGCCTCGGAAACGCACTTGTGCCGTGGGCTGGCCGCACCACGGCGCTGGCTCGGGGCGAGGCTCCCGCGGGCAAGTGCAGCTGCCAACCCGACGAGCAGCCCGGCTCTCCGTCCTCCAACGCCCTTAGGACCTCCGGTGCCCTTTTATGGCTTCAGTGAGGCCTGTATTCGGAAAAACGCATTCCCTGAAGGCCAGCCTGCAGCTGGGGCCAGAACAGAGACCACTGGCCGGGCTCGTGGTCAGACCACCCCAAGGTCTCGGGTTCAACACTGAGAAGGCTGGGGTACACGGCCGAGCCTGGGCGCCTCGGGGCTGGAGCACTGTGTGGGGTCAGCGGCGGGCAGGACTGCGCCCCAAGCAAAGCCACCGTCTGGTGGCACCCATCCTCCAGAAAGCTCCCCCGCCTGGCAAAGCCTCACCAAACACTGCTGCACGTGAGGCTCGGGGCACAGACGACCCATGGAGCACTGGGGGTTGCTCCAGCTCGGGCCACAGCCGGAGAGCACAGCCAGGCCTGCGTCTGTCCCTCCTGCTCACAGAGACTCCTGGGCCCGGGCTGGGGGTCCCTTGGCTAGGGACCTTGGGCAACCCGAAGCGGCCGCGCGGGGCTGCTCTGCCTAAGGGCACGTCGGGGCCGCGGCCGTGCCAGGAGGCCGGGGGAGGACCAGCCGCACACCGTGCAGGGAATGGCTGCGATGCCCAGCGCGCCCCGAGCAGGGTGGCCGGGTGGGCGGCCTCAGAGGTACCCAGGGCTGGGCGCCCTGCCGTCGGGTGGTGAGCCCGTTGGGAACTCGTTCCCCCAACGAAGGGCGGAAGCACTGGTGCCAGACGGCACTAGGTAACGTCGTGGGCTCCCCGAGATCCCCGCAGCACGTCGCGGAAACACTTCCATCAGCTGTCGTTCAGTCTCGCCATCAATCATGTAACAGGATCCCGAGAGATGACCCAGTTTCTAAATCCTCCTTTGCAAGAACACGCCAGGAACGAACAGGTGCTTCCCGTCTTCCTGATGCCTCCCACCCTCTCAGTCGGAGAGTGACACACGGAAACGAGGGAGCCACAGTCGGTGCCGGGAGGGTGGATGCGCGGGGCCTCCGACACTGGGAGTGAACAGACTGGGGGTCCCCGTTCGCCCCCGGGGAGCACGTGCCTTTGCTGTCCAGGTGAGGGTGGGGGGCCGGGGGGGCAGCCCGGCTCCATGGGGGCCTTGGCCGGGCCTGTGCTGGGGCCTCGCTCCTGCCGCGTGTCCCCCGCCACCCTGCAGTGGGGGCACCACCCTAGGCTCGCTCGGGCCGCCGCCAGCCACCATCGTCAAGGCACTACGCACGGCTGCTCTTTCCTGCTCCAAACAGCTCTGTGGGTGGCTCTCAGGATGGCGCGGGTGCGCACAGTCCTCAGCACTGTTGGCCACCGGGCGGGTACGTGCAGGTACCAGGGGCATGCAGAAGGTGCCCTCGGGGCTCCGTGTCATCGTAGGGGGCTCTCGGGCTTGCTCACAGGAGTGAGTACCCCAGGGCCCGAGGAGGCCCCACACGCCGAGACGCCCACCCCCAGCCCCTGGCCTATGTTCCGGCTGCACGCGCCGTTCCCCGTCCCACCACGCGTGCCGCAGCCTGGGCTCCATGGCTCCTCTCCCGGCCCCGGGCTCCCTGGAGCTCCGCCAGCGGCCGCCGCACCCGCACACCCACCTTGTTCATGTGCAGCTGCTGCTGGAAGTGCTGCTTGTGCTTCTCCAGGAACTGCTGGTGCTGCTGCTGGATCACCAGGTGCTGCAGGGCCGGCGCGTTCTGGGGCAGCGGCGCCGACTGGGTGCGCCCCAGCGGGCGGTGCTGCCGCAGCTTGTGCATGGACGGGGACACGCGGTCCGCACCCACCAGAGGCTGCGCGTGCAGGGGCAGCGCGCCCAGGCCTGAAAGACAGCGGGCTGAGGGTAACACGGGGGCAGACGGCGGGGGCGGGGCTGTCGGGGGCCCCCGAGAGCTGCCGTGCCCCTGCCCCTCCCCACAGCCCCGGCGCCCACCGTCACGAGCTGTGAGCCTGAGCTGTGAGCACGGGCTTCGGGGAGCAGGGCCGCCGTGTGCAGGCGGCTCTCCCGACACCCAGGCCCCTGCCAGCACCGGGCACTTCCAAGTGACGTGCTCCGAGCCACCGCCCACCCACCGGGGGCCCCATGTCACCCCCAGACACCCCGGGCCCTAGAGATGCACTTCCAGGGCTTGTTTTGGCCTGAGCAGTACCACAGGCGGCCGGAGTGTGTCCCGGAAGGCCCTGGAGATGGCCCTTCCCTGCTGAGCCGGAAACCACGTTGTGAGGGAACAAAACGGCCTCAGGATCAGATCTTTTAAGGGTCTTTTCAAGCGGTGACGTCACAAACAAAGACGGCATCAACGCGTGTGAAAATCCTGAGGCGTCTCGTCAAGACCTTCTACTGGTTCCTGTAAAGGTTCTGCCCACACCTACCTGCCCGCCAGCTGCCTACCGACCTGCCCACCTACCTGCCCACGCCTACCTGCCTGTCAGCTGCTCACCTACCTGCCTGTGCCTACCTGCCTGTCAGCTGCCCACCTACCTGCCTGCCAGCTGCCTACCTGCCCACCTACCTGCCCGTGCCTACCCGCCTGCCAGCTGCCCACCTACCTGCCTGCCTACCTGCCCACCTACCTGCCCGTGCCTACCCGCCTGCCAGCTGCCCACCTACCTGCCTGCCAGCTGCCCACCTACCTGCCTGCCTACCTGCCCACCTACCTGCCTGCCTACCTGCCCATCTACCTGCCCACGCCTACCTGCCTGTCAGCTGCCCACCTACCTGCCCGTGCCTACCTGCCTGTCAGCTGCCCACCTACCTGCCCGCCAGCTGCCTACCTGCCCACCTACCTGCCCCTGCCTACCTGCCTGCCAGCTGCCCACCTAGCTGCCTGCTAGCTGTCCGCCTACCTGCCCATGCCTACCTGCCTGCCAGCTTCCTACCTACCTGCCCGCCTACCTGCCCACCAGCTGCCTCAAGCACCTGTGCCTGGACTGAAGGTTTAGGAATCTGTATGGATACGTGGTCCTGTTTTAATGTGATCCGAATCTTATTTTAAAATGCAACCTCTTCAGAGACTCGGGATGTCCAACATCTTTTCTCCTACAAGCTTTTCATCCATCTGCAGTTTTACTTTTGCAAACTGTGGGTTTAGGCAGTTTATCGTCTTCCTGTGGTTTTATGGACGAAAGGGTCGACTAAAACCTGCTCCCGAGTGCCTGCTGCCCTGGCGGCCTCAGGTGGATGGACACACACGGACAAGGCTCAGGGGGAGGACGACCCAGGTCACGTCTGCCTGGGACAACGAGCACGTGACCCGAGAGCACGGCCCCCGGAGCTGCCGGAAGAGGCCCCGATGGGCAGGTGCCCCTGCCCGTGTCCCCCCGGGGAGCCCTGTGGTCTCAATCTGTCCCTTGTACCTTCACGGGTGCTGAGTTCTAAATTTTGCACGCAGGCAGCAAGAGCACACACACAGACGAGATCCAAGCCTTATGAAACTCCCTCACTAGCCTTCTGACAAGTCGGTCACCTCTGTCCCTGAACTGCCCACACCCGTCCAGCCCACTGTTGTCTGCAAACAGAAATCATCTTAACTCTGCTTGGCTACTAGATTAAGGTCAGTAACACAGAAGATTGGCTCATTCCCGATCAGGTCTCCTAAAATATTTAAAAAAGCAAAACACAAAGCACATCCCTAAGAAGGGGTTTTGGAATTCTCGCCGTTGACCTAGGTGTCCCGAGGGTGAACGCGCGGAAGCCCGCCACGCGAAGCTGCGTTTACGGAACCAGAGGGGCCGCGGCTTGGTGGTGGATGTTTCTCCGGCCTCAGTGGGCACCGGGAAGGAAGTAAAGCACGTGACGGAGCAGCAGAGCCGCGCCGGGTAAGCTGGACGGCCCCATGTTCCACAGAGAAGCTTCTCTGGGCTCCAGGGCACAACCCGACTCCACAGAGGTCCCGCTTTCCGCTTCCAGGGCTGGTAACGGAGCAGGAACAGGCGGCTCCGATGGCCCCGCGTGACCGTGAGCCTGGGTCTGGTGGCGCCTGCTGCCTCCCCTACAACGAGAGGCTCCCCCCAAGCAGAGGGCTGCCTTCCGCGGGGTGGACGTGCCCTGAAGACACAGGCCGCCATCCCCGTGGAGACGAGGGCAGATGCCGGGAGGACCCTGCTCTGGTCCACCTCACCCACCCCCAATTTCACTATGGGCCTCGTGGGGTGTAAAGTGCAGGGGGCCGTCGCCCTTGGGGCCTGGTCGCATTAGAGGAAACTGAACGTCCTAACCTGTGAGTAGCAAAGCCCTTACTGGCCAGGTTCCTTCCCACTGACCCCTTAGGTCATGAACAGGGATCTCTGACGACAGACCACCATGTAGTTCCTGGTATCTATCGTAAAAGACTTTTATGTATAAAACCACACTAAGGTGGGATTGAATTCTGTCCTAGGTGACCGCTACCTGCAGGGGCCTGGGGTGTCCAGTGGGCGCGGTGTGGGGGCAGATGCTGACCTGCGGCTCCTGGGCCCTGCTCCGGACAGCAGGCCGCGTGGGGCCTCTTTCCCCGAGCACCCGGCCGGCTGGGAGCTCACCCGAGGGTCTGCTCTTCCCGCCCACCGCCCTGGCACAAGTCCCTCTGGGGTCCAGGACATGGACAACACCTCTCAGGATGTGCTACACTCAGCTCTAACTGGTGAGTTTGCAAACGAAGGCCCCACTTAGACGCGCCCCACCAGACGTGGGGGCCAAGAGGCAAGGAAGGTGCAGACTCAGGCTGCCCTGGTGATCTGGGCCGTTCTGAGGCGCTGGCCTTCGCGCTGTGGGGTTCTGGTTAAGGAGGTGAATTCACACTGGAGGAACCCTCTTGGCCTACGTCCTTAGAAATCCATTTCGTGCACTGCACAGCCCTACCGGCCACGGGGAAAGCCTTAACGACCCTTCAAAAGACAGTAGGCCGGGCAAGACTTGGGTCGAAACCGCGGCTTGCAATCCAGGCTGCATGCGAGCAGACCCGAGCACCGCAAGGACGTCCGGGCATGGAGGGGCCTGCGTGGACCAGTCGGTCTGGAGGCCCGGCCACGGCTAACAGTCCGGGCTAGGCCCCAGATAGAGAAGCACCCACGGCCAGTCGTGCTCAAGCCCCTCCCGGGACTCACGTGACCACTGCTGCAGGAACCAGCAGAGCCCGATGCTCAGAGGTGCAACCAGGGCAAGCTGCCTGTCTGCTCCCCTCAGCCCCGGCGTGGGCCCCGAGCACAACGCCACGTCCACCAGGTACAACACCTGCTCCTTCTTGCTCCCCTGAGCCGCCCACCCAAGGTCTGGTGAGCAGGAGGCAGGAGTTTCAGCAGACGAGGGCAGAGCACACGGGAGGAAGGTCACACGGGGCGGGGGCAGGGACAGGGCCTGGGGCACAGCCAGCCCGTGAGCCGGCCGAGGGGGCGAGAAGGGCAGCCCTGGCTGAAGGGCGAGCCCACACCCCGTGTGCCACGCGGGCAGCAGGGGGCTTGCTCCTGTGCCGCCGAGAGCCAGGCCTTCACGCCACCCCCCCACCCGCCGCCGCCCAGCATGAACGCGCCACATTCACGTGGTGGGCAGCCACGGCCACACGGGCACCCACTAAGCCCCACATGGGCTGAGAAGCCAAACGTGCACTTTGCTTTCGGGTCTTAACTCCCGTCTTCAGCTTTAGTGGCCACATGAGGCCAGGGCTCCTGCCCGGACGGCTCTGCCTTCGGGCCTGCAGGGGCAGGAAGCCCTGTCAGGGGCGTGCGTGCTCCCACAGAGACCCTGCTTGCAGGCAGGGGGTGGGCAAGGACGGACGGGGCGGCCTGGGGGACGTGAGGGCGACAGCGAGGTTGAAGGGTTAAAGTTCTCAACCCAAAAGCAACCACCACGACCACGGCTGACGTCTAACGGGACACCACTGTGTTAACACGCACCTCGTTTAACCCTCATAAAACTCAGCAGGCAGATTACCTGCTTCACTTGTGGGGAAACTGAGTCACGGCACCAGGGAGAAGTCCCAAGGTCAGGGAGCTGGGACAGAGCAGAGATGAAGGCGTCGTGTTCTCGGGCATGGCCTTGCCTCCAGCTGGGTGCCCAGGGACCAGGAGGGGGCCTGTGGGTTTGGGGGCCGGGTGGGGGGGCCGGCACACAGGTGCTCACAGGTGCTGGGCAAGGGGGCCAGAGGCGGGGCGAGCGCAGGCCGGGCTGCTGCCACAGATGGGGCCGGGAGACCGCCCGCGGAGCGCGGGGCAGCAACGTGGCCAACCACAGGGGGTCAGGCCAGCGAGGGAGCTGCGGGGCTGAGGTTGGTGTAGGACTGTCCCTCGCGTCCTGTGGGGAAGGCTGCTTCCCAGCGAGCTGGGGGACGCGGCATTAAGGGCGCTCTGTGAGGGGCACCGGGGGCTCGGCCGGCCGTGTGTCATGACCCCAGGGTCCCGGGACCGAGCCCCGCAGCGAGCTCCCCGCTCAGCGGGCAGGCTGCTGCTCCCTGTGCTCCTCCCTGCGCTGGTGCTCTCTCCCGCTTTCCTTCTCTCTCAAATAGGTAAATAACTTCTTTAAAAAAAAGAAAAAAAAGAATGCTCTTTCATGGTGGGTGACAGCGGCATGCGGAGGGGAAGAGGGTGACACGCAGACACGCGCCCGATGACGTGAGCGAGCAGGGGCCTGGGATCACGAGGAGGGTCCGGTGTAGCTGACGTGCTGATGAAGGACACGCGAGGGGGATCCGGGTGCCCCTCACGGCTCAGTGTCACGGACTCAGATGCAATTTCAGATAAAACCCTCGAGACCCTGTGCTCATGACCCACTGCCCAGAGGTCGGGGAGACGCACAGCTGCCCCGGGTCGCCGAGGACCCCTCAGCTCTGAGGATGGTGACCCCACTGCAAGCATCGGGGGGACCAGACGGACACACGGAAGGAAGGGGCACTGATGGACGACGGAGCTCGCCATCTCCGCGGACACACAGACACACAGGAGGGCAGGACGCGGCCCCCTGTGCCCATGGGTCGGGACTCCATGACCCACTGAGCACCTTGTTTTCCACCCAAGTGTCAGGGGGTGTGAAAGGGGGCGGCTCCGAGCTTAGTTTAGATTTTAATCCCGAACAAATGAACACGGCTCCTCTGGGAAGCCGAGCACGAAGCCGGGGACGATGCAGACGTGAGGGACGTCGTGCAGCTGGGCACGTCCTCGTCTTACAGCAAATCCACACATTCGTCACCGCTGACGCTACCAGGGTTGTTGCCAGGCAAATATCTAATTTCCTATTTTTTCCCCTAAACATAAGCATTGCGTAGACGGAGCACATTCAAATGGGTTTCCTGCGAACAGAAACGGACCAGCGCCTAGAGTCACCTGCGGGCTTCCATCACACGTTCCCCTCGGTCCAGAGGCAAGTGCAGACGGGAAAACCGTCTCTCTCTCGAGGCTGCACGGCAGGGACGCCCGATGCCCAGTTTTGCACCGTCTACCTCGTCTTGCAAGCGAGCCCTGGTTTAGGAGATCCCACGCCCGACGTGGGAGGGGGTGGAGAGGGGCCTCCCCGCGGGCCCGCCCCAGCCCCCCGTGCTCACCTGTGACGAGGGGCGTCTGCGCAGGCGTCTGCTCCAGTAAGACCATGTGCTGCAGGAGGGGGTTGTGCGCAGCCCCGCCGTCCCGCTCCAGGGGCGCCGTGCTCAGGTAGGGAGTGAGGTGGGTGCCGGGGAAGAGGGGGATCCGCTGCTGGAGGGCCGGGAGAGCGAGTCTCTCGGCGTCCTGCTGGCCGGCCGCCCCCTGCAGAGGCACAACCGTGACGCGGGGGGCCGAGGGCCGGGGCCGGCCGCCCCCCTCCACGCACACCCGCCGACGCCTACTCACCGCGGAAGGGCCGGTGGCGGGCAGTCCCAGCGTGATGTTGGGCAGGGACGGTGACGTGTACAGGGGGAGCGGGGCCACGGAGCCTTCTCGAGTCACGAGTCTGTGCGCCAAGCCGGTCTGGAGACAGAACACACGACGGCCGTCACACGCGGTCGGGTCTCTGTCGAGCGTGGCCAGCGCACACCACGAGAAATGACGGCAGGAAAGGCTCTGGGGGGCCCTGCTGAACCCTGAGACGCCACAGTACAGACGTACGTCAACACGCTCAGCACACGGGCGAGCAGAACACCTCAGAGCGGGCCACCGAAACGTCGATTCACAATCCATCAGGCTCGTTTGCTCTTTTTCGGATTGCTAATTCACTAAACTCCCGAGGAAATCTATGGGATTCATATATCTTAAAATATATTCTTGGTTGGGAAGGTCTTTTCGCACATGACATCAGAGGCAGAAACCAAAGAAAACGGGCATTAAAATAGATCCCTCCCAGAAAAGGCAAATAACGGTCGCAGCAATGTTGGCCCTGTGTCGGGCAGAGAAACCTGAATATGTAAAGAGCTCATGAATCAAATAATTATTAACAAGGAGAAAAGCACATAGAAAGGCAAATGATGAGGCGCTGATTATTAAGGGAGAATAAGCTCACGGAACAAAAACTCAACATCATCAGTAAATCTAGAAATATGTCTTAAAACCTATCGAGTTGGCCAAGACTTTTACAACTGAGCATAGGCTGTTGGCCCCAGGAACAGAGAAGCACGCTGCCGGGTGGGTAAGAGCTGGTGCTTTTTCTTTGTGCAGGAAATTGAGCAATCCACGTCACAAGCCTTGAAAATTTATCTGACTTTTGATCCTAAAACTCCACTCATAGGACGGACGCCTACGACACGATGTCGGTGCGGGGAGGCCCCAGGAGGGTCACGGCCGCGGCGCCCACAGAAGCAGAGGGCTGCGTGTCCCGCAGCGTGTCCAAGGCTGAAGAGACGAAGGGACACGGGGCTCTCGGGAGGGGGGGGCGGGGAAAAAACTTCCTCGACTGGTTGGAATCTCATTGATGTTGGGTTGTTGAGTCAGGAAACCGAGTTGTAGAACGGGCCGTTTTCTCAAAAGCAGAGAGACAGGGAGGACTGGGGACAGACGGGAAGGGGTCATCAGCGGGAGCGCCCTCTGAGGATCTCAGCGTGTCACCCACTCAACATCTTTTTGCTTCGAGGATGAGGTTCTTTGCTGCAAGGACGCCGTTTACACCGCAGCATCCCCCGGAGTAGATCCTCGGTGGCCGTCATGAGCCGAGGGGCGGAGGGAAGGAACACACGGCGTCGCCGGCGCCGGCTGAGGCTCTGCAGAGTCCCCAGGACAGAAAATCGCGGGAGTGATGGGCGTCGACCCCGTCCTTGGAGCTCCTCTCGCCTGCGGTACGTGACCAAGAGGAGAAACACTCGGTGCCTTCAGACCTCAGGCCCAAGGGAACAATCACCACGTCCTGTAGACAACAGGGTGGACCAACTGCCGCCCGGCTCACCGCGGGGGTGCCGCGGGCCTGGTCGCAGCCGCCATGAAGCCAGTCCCCGGAATATCCCGGGTTCCCAGTGCTCGTGAAAGTCACGCTTACACAATGCTGCAGCCTGTCGGGTGCGCAACAGAACTAGGTCTAAAAACACAATGTCGGGGATCCCTGGGTGGCGCAGCGGTTGAGCGTCTGCCTTTGGCCCAGGGCGTGACCCTGGAGTCCCAGGATCGAGTCCCAAATAGGGCTCCCTGCATGGAGCCTGCTTCTCCCTCTGCCTGTGTCTCTGCCCCCCTCTCTCTCTGTGTCTCTCATGAATAAATAAATAAAAAATCTTTAAAAAAATAAAAAAAATAAATAAATAAAAATAAAAACACAATGTCTGTGCCGTAACTGAAAGCCACCTCGCTGCTATAAAATGCTGGCCCTGTCGGAGCACCCAGTGAGCCGCCGTCCTGCGCCGGAGCAGGTCCCGCCTCGATGTCACAGCTGCCGAGGGTCCGAGTGGGGCCCAGGCCGGGGCGTGTGGCGGCTTCCTGAACTCAGACGACAATTTGCCACGTGGCTTGACTTCCCCTCGCGGCCTCCCTGGCGCGTGTGGCGCTGCTGGACGGCGCTGCACCTGCAGGAGAACGTCCTCCGGGCCTGGAGCCCGGCTCTGCGACCGCCGCTCTGTCCCCGGAGCGCAGGGAACCGCTCGGTCCTCCGCCGTCACTGCAGTGGCCTTCCTGGAGGCGTCACCCGGACGGATTCCGTCTCGGGAAACCACCTTCCCGGCTCGTCCGTGGGAAGCAGCTGCTCCCCGTCACGCTGTCCCAAGGGAGGGTGCGACCCGGGCCCGACTTCAGGCTCCGCTTGGAACCCGGTTCCCCTGCCGTTTCCAGCTCATCTGCAGTGACTTCCCCGTGGAAGCTTGAACCTTTGGCTTGTTAAACAAAAAAAAGAAAAAAAAAAAAGCAACATCTCCAAAGCGTGATAAAGGGGCGTGTGCCTGGACCACCCAAAGGCGCGGGCGGATGCCCCAGACCCTGCGGGATTCCCGAGGCTGCTGCGGAGCGTGGTCCCGTTTCAGGGTCGCGTGGAAACACCTCACACTCTGTTTCGAGGCCGCGAGGGCAGAGCAGGGAGGAAAGGGTTGTTGGCGCCGGGCGCTTGGTGCACGTTGTCCTGGAGCAATCACGGAGCTGCCTCGCTCTGCTCACCGGGAAGCCGCGCAGGCCTCACCGACAAGCCCCGAGGAAAGTATTTTCCCTTGACAGAAACATTCTTTTTGTCACAAGTAAGAGAAATATCAACAAGCGACGCTTCAGGAAGAACGGTGGAGACTGCCGAGGAAGGCCCGGCCCCACTGGATGGTAATTATCCGAGAACAAAACAAGCAGACATCCTAATGTCTGCAAAGTTATAATTTCCTCTTTATAATCGCTTTTTTTTTTTTTTTTTTTACCTAATTTATTTTTAGAAAAAGCGCAGCCTTCTGAGAATGACTTGGATGCTGATCGCCCGCATGCGCCGTTGGCGGCCTCGCTCTGCCCTGCGCGTCAGCTCCGGCGCTGCACACCGGGTCGGGGCTGCGGGCCGCACCCCGCCTGGCGCCCGGGGTTCTGAGCCGGGGGAGCCGCCGGCTTCCTCTGTGTACGGGGGCCCTCGCGGGGCAGCGGTGACGGGGCTGCAGGCCGGGGGGGCCGCCGGGTCCTGCACGGTGGTCTCGGGAGTGCTCGGATGCTCTCAGACCCCGAGCCCGCGGAGGTCACAGGAGAGGACGTCAGAGACCACCCTGCCGGCCACAGGGACCCTCGGACGCAAACACGACCAAGGGCCCTTTTCACTCTCCTTGTCAATCCCTTCACTTCTACTACTTTGTGGCAGCTTAAGTCCTACGAACGCAGGACGTGCAGAAATTAGCACGTAATTTAAACCGGAACAGCGCAGACCCCCGTCCGCCAGGCACCGCACAGGAGGAGCCGCCGGTTCCTAAGTGCCCGGGTCAGACAGCAGGGGGGACCGCCGGGGCGAACGACCCAGGACGCGGGCTCCAGGCCATGGCAGCCATGACCTCGGGGTTCAGCGCAGGGTGTCAAAGCCCTGTAAGAACCTAATAGGTGCTTACACGGGGCGCTGGGGAGACGGGACGGAAGGACGGGATGTGGCGGGACGCGAGGTGCGAGGAGGCACAGTACGACCTCGGCTGCCGCGTCCTCGCGTCACGGTCCACAAACCTGTGAAAACGCTCAGCGCTGGCGCCTGCGTATCCCAACTAAGGTCTGTCAACCCTTGGCGAGGGCAGGACTCCTCTCTAGGCATTTGGGAGCGACGTAAGGAACCCTATCTAATGAACTGTAGCCTCCCGCGACTTAGCAGGAAGGCAGGAAGGACTCAGGAGAGCCTCCCACTCGGGGGGACCGTCTGCGGCAGGACGCGGACGGCGTTTCGGGCCAAGTTCGCTGGAAGACCTGGAGCCGGGTGGCTCCCCCCGCGGTCACCCCAGGCCCCTGGCCTCGCTCGGCGAGCCTGACGTCCTCTCGCTCCTCCTGCGTACCGGTCAGCACCTGCACAGGAGCCGCTGCTGGCTGCCCCCTGGCCCTCGGTCCCCGGGGCCCAGCACGGGGCTGCCCCGCGGCAGGAGCTCCAGGGACGCTTGTGCAATGAACACACAGGCAGGTCCTGGAAACTACTGCCCAGAAAGTCACCCTGGCCCAGGTCTGGCCCAAGGCAGCCCCAGCAGGCAGCCCGGGCCCCTCCACCTCGTCTCCCCAGGGTGCCCTCCCACCCTCTGCCAAGTGAGTCCACAACCCTCTCCGCGCCCACGTCCCTCTCAACCTGCAGCACACCTGGGGTCTGACGGGCAGGGTGAGGGTGACTGGCCCTGCGGCCTGAGGCTGGAGGTCAGCCTGGCATCTCCGAAATGCCACCCCTGGCGTTGCTAACAGCCAGACGCCCTCAGCACACGCCCCGTGTCGCTCTGCTCCCCCCGGACACACGGATGCGTATTTGTTGGCTGAGCGTTCCTAAGGCACAGCGAGTCCCTCCGTTCCCATCCAACACCGGTTCCTACGTGATTCTGTGTTGTTCCCGCGCCCGGCCACCGTGCAGAGCCCCAGGGACACTCGGGAGCGGGGCATCCGAGGCCCCACTGGCACGCGGTGTGTGCTCTGAATCGGCCTAAATAAATACGCTCGGAAAGAGGCCGGGACGACAGGCTGTGTTTAAAGCCGTGCCCCCGTCAAGGAGGCGCAGCGCCCGTGGCAGGAAGGGGCCCCGTGCAGGGAGCCCCCCGACCTGGTCGGCCAAGGCCGGGGGCAGCCGCAAAGCGCGGCACCTCAGGGAGGCCGGGAGGCCAGCTGGGCCGACGCAGGGAAAGGCCCGAACGGAAAGCGCACACTGACCTCGGCCGGGATGCTCGCCACGGCAGGTGTGATCCCGTTCTCCGCACTGACGTTCCCGGAGCTGTTGTTGGGGGAGCTGGGAGCGGAGCCGGGGGCGCTGCTGCACGCCGAGTCTGTGGGCGGAGAGACATCCGTGAGCCGCGCGCCGTGCGGGGGGCCCGGGCACCTGCGCTCCCGGCTCGCTGACCGGCGGAAATCACATCACGAAAGGACGTGCCCTCGGCTCCCAAACGGGGGCTGGGAGGCTACTTCCCTACTTTTGGTTTTACTTCCCCGTGAGCTCTGCAAACGCTCAGCTCCCGAGAGGCCCCCGCGGAGCCTTGTAAGCTGCGTGCGCTACCCACGTCGTCCTCCTGAGCTCCAAGGTGGTCTGAAACGCTCACCAACAACCTGACGACAAAGACCGGGAAGTGCAGAAGGCGCAGGACCCCGGACAGGGAGGGGTCAGCTGCTGCGCTCACTGCCAGGGCCGCCGGCCGGCCGCGGGGCTCCCTTCCCTTTGAATTAACCGCTCTCGTGTTTCCTACGCGACATCAAACACCCAGGGGAAGGCCTGCTAGTGGCGGCGTCTGTGATGGGTCAGCGTCACCTGAAATCACTCGCCGAGTTGTCCCCCAGGTAACTTTACGGGGGGCGGTGGCCTGGCCCTGCCAACGGGACCAGGCCCCTCTGCAACTGGCCGCGCCTGAGGCATGTTTGCCCCCCGCGCCTCCCTGCCACGCCAGCCTGGCCACGGTGCTGACGCTCCACGTCCACAGGCCGGCCTCCCCGTGTCCTCCTCCTTTGGGTTCATGGCATTTTGACGATGGCATCACCATGGATGGGGAGCTCTGTGGTCCCCGGTCCTCTGACCAGGCAGTCGTCAGCACAGGCTCGCCAGTGGGCCACCGGCCGTCCCAGACATGGACCGTGAGCTCAGACCAGGCCCCCCGCCCCACCCTACACTCCAGTCCAGGGCTCACTCCTCTCCCTGGGAAACCACGGTTACTTGTTCGTCACTAACCGGGAGCCCCTGAGAAGCACCCCCGACCCCGGGCCGAGCCGCTGCTAGACTTCCTGCATGAAGACAGATGTGCGTCCTCCCTGATGGACGGAGGCCACCGCCTTGCCCTTGGGTGCCGTCCCCGTGGCCCCCGCGGGCCACCTTCTCCGCGACCCTATCCCAAGCTGCACACAGGGTTCCACCACAACGCCCTGCAATGTGTGCCCCCCAGCACGGTGACCAGGTCAACACTGGTCAGTGCAACTGGGGCACCATTCGGGGTGCGCAAAAGTGCCCGTGAGCAGTATCGAGTGAGTGCGGGTGGGCGCACACGTGGCATGAGCTTGGCGGTGGGAGAGACGCACGGAAGAAAGACTGGAAGGAAGTGTGCCCTGCTGGGAGCTCCAACGGCTCAGACGCGTGTGCGCACGGGCGGCTCATTTACCATCGGCTCCTGTGGCACGCGCGGCCTTCGTGAGCAAGGGGGAGAAGCAGCTGTGAACCTGGCCCATCCCGTGGCCGGTCTCCTGCCAGCTGGCCCCATGCCCGCCCCTCCCACCCCCTGCCCGCAGGCCAGCCGCTGTGCTCTTCCCCAGGAGACACCACCTCCCGGGGCGGCAGAGGGGCTCCCCTGGCTCTGTGGGGACCGGCTTCCCTGATCTCCGTGTTTTCCCTTCTCCTGGAAAGGCAGCGCTGCGTCCTGCCCCGGCGGCCTGGGCTCCGCGAGGGCCCGAAGCCCGTCTCGCCTCGCCCCTGTGCCAGCCGCACTCATCCGCCTCGCATTCCGCAGCCTCTCCTGCCCGGGCCTCCTAGGCGTGCACTCTGCACGTGCCACGGCCCAGCACCGGGTGTGGCGGGCACGGTGTGTTGGGTGGGCCCCACGTGATGCTCGGGTCTCTCAAATGAGATGCTGAGCTCCTGGGCGGCGAGGACCCGTGTCCCTATTTCTGCGCGCAGCCCGCTGCTGACTCAGCGGCATTAAACGGCCCCAGGCTGACGACGTGAACACGGGAAGAAGCCTGTGGATGGTTCCGTCTCCCCGACTGCGGGGCTAGGAATAGACACGCGGCCGTCCTGCCCATCGGAGCTGCCGGCCCACGGCCAGGCGCTCCTCAAAGCAAACAGAGCTGCATCTGTGCTGAGACGGGGCTTTAACTCACGACTCTGAATGGAATCCCCGGCGGGCGAGACGCGGTGACGACACTCCCTGTCTTCCGACCAGGCCTGTCTACACTGGAACCAGCCCAGCACTGAACCCCACGTGGAAACCACGAAGGGCTCGGGCCCTTGCACACAACCCTCCGGGGCAGGGGCTTGGAGGAGGCTCAGTGGGATGGGCCGGGAGGGGGGGCCCTCGAAGCCTCCCCCTCACACAAGGGTGCTGGGGCTCAGTCGGGGTGTGCGGGGCGGGTCGCCGGCACAGGACGACAGCACCGAGAACCTCACGCCGACAGGCAGGCGGCCACCAAGAGCCCGGGTTTTCTAATGGGTGGCTGTGCCCTGTGCAACTACGTTTCCTCCTCCCCCTTATCCGGTGCTGACTCCAGGAGTGTGATGTGCGACGTGGGACGCACCCCGAGATGGGCTATCGCCTCAGGGTGGGGGTGGGCGTACTTCGAGGTGGGCTGCACCCTTGCGGGTGCGTCTGGGGAAGGGGGAGCAGCCTCGGGCAGGAGGGCGCCCCCAGGTCTGGCTGTGCCTGGCGCACGTCGGCAGGTCCACCACTAGGTGGGGGCCGAGAGCAGCGCTCGCTCCGAGCCCCCAGGACCGCGCTCCTCCTCCCCTTCCCACCTGCGGGACTCCCGCCAGGGCGACTCCCATGCTCCGCAGCCGGACGGGATGGGCAGTGGAGCAGATCGCAGCCATGTGATTCACCACTAACAGGGCAGGACCGGTTAAACCTCCGCAGAAACCTCAACTGCAAGTTCCCGTAAACACCCTGTGCAATGTCGAAGAGCCGGGGCCCGGGGGCCGGGGCAGGCGCCTGTGCTCCTGGAGACCCCTGCCCGGGCCCTCGCGGCGCCTCTTGACGCGCACCGCCAGCCCCAAGGGCCGAGAGCCGGTGCAGAGGTGCGGGTCTCTGAGGGGGTCCGGGAGAGCCTCGCGGGGAAGGATGGGCCAGGCCGGGGCCTGGGGGGCACAGCTCCCACAGCCCGCCTGACCTACCTGTGACGTCCAGCGGACGCTTTTTCAGAGCGGTGACCACTGGCCCATCTTTTCTGCGTAGCAGGGGGCTGCTCCGTCTCTCGGCCACCTTCTGCTTTAGCCTGGACCGTAACTTCAGATTGGGTTCAGAAGCTGCGAGAAAAGGAGACACGGTTATAGTCAGACGGTCACGACTGGGGTCCAGTTGCTCTCCCTGGCGGTGAGGAGCTCGGCGCGCTGGGGAAACACTCGGGTACCACGGATGTGCTGCGGGGGGCAGAGCGAAGGCAGCGCTCCTCAGGCCGGGGCGGGGTTTGTGGTCCACAGAGCCTGCCCGACGCCTTCGGCTAAGCTTCTTCGGACAGGGTTAGGCATCCGCGCTGGTCATCCGGGGCGTTGGCCCACCAGCGTGCCCACCGCTTCTAGATCATACGCTTCCTCGTTCACCTGCCTCGCAGACACCCCTCAGCGTCCAGCAACCCGGAGACGAGCCGCCTGCTGGGCTCCGGCTGCCCGGGGTGCTATGGCCATCCTCCCGGCCACACCTGCCTGGGGGTCAGCCAGCCCCCGTCTCCCTCACAGGCCACCTGACCACAGGATGCAGCCCTTTCCGCCTGGATTGGTGCGTCATCGGCTCTGCTCGTGCTTTGCAAACCCGCGTGTTTAGGATCAGTGGTTCCCGAGCCCCTGCGCCCGGAGCCCGGGGCCCCCGCAGACCCGTGCGGCCACACTGCTGGGAGGCAGAGGCACTGCAGGGTGAGGCCGCCCCGGGAGCGCGGCTGCCTCACTACACCCCGAGGTGCCCCCGGCCGCACACCTGGGCAGGAATATCTGCAACTCCCAGGGGCATCCGCTCTCCGGGCCGGACAGGGGCAGATGACCACCGCCGCGACGTGCGAGTTCTGAGATTCCACTGGACTAGTTTCAAGTTCCTACCACTTCCATGTGAGCTCGTTTTTACCTTTTTGTTTGTTTTTCATCAGGAACCCTGCTGTTTTTAATCTTTCTGGAACAGGAAGTTCACTGCTCTCCAGAGCACCAAGCAATATCACCGAATTTCCCTCTGGAATCAGAGCTAAGATGGTTTGGGTTTGTTTGAAGCGGCGGGGCGCGCGCGCATTCCTCGGGCACGGTGACTCGGTCCCCCGGGGAGAGGGCGGTGGGGTGCTGCTGACCGAAGGGCTCTGGGAGCCAAAGGGCAGCCGAGGGCCCCACGACGGGAAGGGGCAGCGGGCCAGCTCCACTGGGCTCCCCGGAGGAATCGAAGAGGTGCCTCGCGGCGCTGCCAGACCTCTCAGGATGCCCCACCTGCTGCGGACCGACGGCGTGAACGCAGGGGGCGGGCCCTCCCCACCTTGCAGCGCCTGGTGTGGGGCGAGGCCGTTCACCTGTAGGACTTGGCGGAGGAAAGGGGGAGGACTCACGCGCGGAATACGACAGGTATTCTCGTATGTACGGAGGAGACTGCAGGTTTACATGTTTCATTCACTTCTACTTTTATGCTGAGTTTCTGACCGTTATTTAACACGAGGAAAAAGCCACAACCCCATCTTGCCAACAGGCAAGAAAATCACAGCCCTCCTCCCAGCACCAAGCGTCCCAACGACCTGGGGGCCGAGCTGGGGTCGGACGCTGCTCTGAGACTGCAGGGCGGCACGGGCCCCTGGCGAGAGAGCCCGTCGGGAGACGGCGTCGGGTGGACGGGTCACCCTGGGCCAGCGGCAGGCCGGCCATGGTACTGGGTCCAGCACCCCGACCCCCCCAGGCCTTGCAGGCCACCCTCTATGTTCAACACACCTGGTCGAGTGATGGCACCGGCAGGTCATCACTCGGGCAGCCACGTCCCGTCCGAGGTACCCAGACCCCTGGTGTGACTCACCGATGGGACCGGGCAGGCCCCGAGCCCCTTCCCATCTCCCACAGCCGCTGGGCTGGTCCTCAGGCCCCACCCCACCCTCTCCTGACCACGGCTCACACCCCCACCGGCACCACCCGAGATGACTCCCCCTGCCCCACAGTTGATCGTGAGAAGTCTGACACCTGAGGGATCTGTGCAGCCTCCCTGATTCCAGGTGAGCCTAGTGATGCTCTTTGCAAAGGCAGACCCGACACAGGGCTCCCCACCCCTCCCGGCGCCACCCCTCTGAGGGCTGCACCTGACATAGGGTCGGGACACGTGCTGAAGATCCCGAGTGTCTCGGGACGAGAGCAGAGCACCGAGCTGAGCGAGGCGGGACCTGCCTGCAGCCCAGCGTAAGGCAACAGGGGGGCTCGGGGCTGGGCCCTTCCCCGTCCCTCTGGGCCTCCCCAGGACCACCTCCCATGGAGCCTCTGGGTGCAGGGCCAGGGGCAAGGGGTGGGCAGCAGGCAGGCGGACCGGGACCCGCCCCGAGGACCATGGCTGTGCTGGGAAGGGCCCTGAGGTAGAGCGAAGGCCCCACTACCCCTCCTTTTCTCTGGAGAAGGCTCATTTTCTGGCAGCCGCTGGTCCGGGTGCTGAGCAAGCTGAAATGTGGGGTTTGCAGGCTCCACGGAGAAGACACAGTGACCCGCGGCCCAGATACTCGTAAGCAAATTTCTTGAAACGTGCAAAACGCCTGCAACCCCAACAGCTCTGCTCGGCAGCCAGAGCGGAGAATACGAGCACGCCGCAGCCCGCCCAGGGGACCTGCAGACCTGCTAGATGGCACCTGCCCCGCGCAGGGCCACGCACCCCCCACGGGCTCCACGGGGCAGCTCCCCACGCACCCAACGACCTCGAAACGCACGCAGCTCCCTACGTGGCCAGCTGGGGTAACTAGAACTGTATTTTGTTCCTTTGAATGGGGCCGCAGGTAGGCTGGGGGCCAGAGCGTGAGGAAGACATGTTCTGGCAAAGTGGCTCCCAGCAGCCGAGCGCTAACAAAACGGAAAACGCTGGGTCCCCGAACTCAGCCCCTGCTCCTCCCAGGGGAGGTGGGTCACCGGGGAGGTCTGTCCTCAAAGGCAGTCGGGTACGTGGCACATTAGGCCAGGCTAAACCTTCCTACTCTTACCTTAAAACCCCACACCGGGGGGATCCCTGGGTGGCGCAGCGGTTTGGCGCCTGCCTTTGGCCCAGGGCGCGATCCTGGAGACCCGGGATCGAATCCCACATCGGGCTCCCGGTGCATGGAGTCTGCTTCTCCCTCTGCCTGTGTCTCTGCCGATCTCTCTCTCTCTCTCTCTCTCTCTCTCTGTGACTATCATAAATAAATAAAAAAATTTAAAAAAAAAAAAAAAAAAAAAAAAAAAAAAAAAAAAAAACCCCACACCGTCCCCAGCACCTGCGCCTCCTTGGGCAGGAAGCACCTGCGGGTGAGGAGAGCCTGCCCTTCAGGAGCCCCGGCACCTACACCGATTCCAGCCAGCCCTGGCCTTCCCGGAGGGTCAGTCACAGCACAACAGGTACCGGTACCGTGTACCGGTCAGTGGGGCAGAGGGGACCTCAGGGCCCGTGGCTTGTGCACAGGGGTCGGCTCGTCTGCAGGCAGGTACCGCTCTGGGGGCAGGGGCTGAGCGGGCAGGGCGTGCAGAGCAGGTGCCGGAGCCGCTCCCCTCCCGAGCCCCTGCCCACGGAGGACGGGAGCCGACACAGGACGGAAGTGCCGGCGGGGGAAGGAGACACCGGGAGAGAAAGGGGAGAGACTTGGAACACGGGAGGGAAGAGGTGCAACGTCATGTTACTAGCAAAGCCCGGAGAGGTCCGGGCAGAGCGGGGAGGTTGGGGGAGGTCGGGGCTGCACGGCGCTCCCCGTGACGGCGGCCCCTCGCAGGCCCACCCTGCAGAGTCCTGGAGCCCTGCGGCCCGGGGGCCGGGCCTTGGCAGCGGCGTCGGATTCTGCAACAGCCACTTGGAGGCACGATGAAGACCCGACAATCCTGCAGGGCGGCGGCTTCTGTACCAACCAGGTTATCATATCAGCCAGACGTGAGCCAGAGCAGACACGGCCACCCCGCGCGGACTCGGGTCCACGGCCCGTGCAGCTCCTTGGAGGGCAGCTGCACCCGCCCGAGGTGAGGGAGGGGCCACTCAGGAGTCCAGGGGGATGCGACGGGGTGGGGAGGGGCAGGTGGGGCCTGGGGCGGGCGTGTGCCTGCAGCCGTGTCCCAGGCCCCAGGGGAGCCTCTGGGTCTCCTGCTGTGCGGGGGCTCCTCCACGTGAGTTAACCACACGCACACAGAAAACTAAGAAAACGGTAAAAGTGATCAACTTCAGAAAAACACGAGTTGTGCAAACAGAGAAGCACAGGCGAGGTCACCCTGCATTGGTGTGTACTTTCTGTCTGTCACCTGTCACAGGGAGGGGCACGTCCTCAGCCTTGTGGGGCGCTCCGGTTTATGTACATTTATTTACTTTGAAGGCGGTTAAGACAAACAAACAAAAAAACTCTGGAAAGCCAAAGGACACGCGGGAATGTGACTTCTGCAGCACACGTGTCGGATGTAGGACTGATCTTAACACATCAAGGGCTCCTACAAACCTACAAGAAGAAACACCCCAAACAGAACTGGATGGGAGACTGGCCAGCAGACTTCCGTCCACCGGACGCCTGGGGACCTGCCTGAGTGTCCCGTGGTTCTGGACGCCGCGCACGGCGGTGGACAAGCCTGGGCCTGCTGGCTCTCCGAGCTCTGCGCGGCTCACGGGCCACACGCCTGGCCGGGAACATGACCCAGGAGTCGGGTCACAGCCACCCAGATCCCTGCTGCACTGCAAAAGGCAGACGTTTTAGCGGGAAAGACGTAAGATACACATAAAGATCCTTGAGCTTTACTAACGGTGACGGGATTGCTGCTGAACGCATCGCAGGGAGCGGGACCCACTCATCCGTCGCGTGGGCTCGGGTGAACGCGGTGGCGCCTTAGTGAAGCGGAGATAATGGGCTCCCCGGGGCTCTGGTGTGGTGGGATGTGCTCAGCGTCTCAGGGCGTGCAAGCCCCTGGAGCTGGCGGCCCTGCTCCCCGGCATCTACCCTACAGACAGGCTAGCACAAGGGAGCAGAGGTAGTGACACTGGAAAGGACTTAGGACTTCATGGACGAGTATAAGAAAAATATAGAAAAAGGCTCCGACGGTGCCACACTCAGATGGCAGGGCGTACGCAGCAGAATAGTAGCTGACAAATAAACTCA